AACCCCACATTCACACAGTTGTTAAGTGAATCACTACAGTTGTTAGTAACAGGGTTGTTAAGTGAATCTGGCTTCCCCACTGACTTTGCTTGTCAGAAGGTCGCAAAAGGGGATCCCGTGACCCCCCCAGGACAGAGCAACTGTCATAAGTATGTGTTGTTGCCAAACGTCCAAATGTTTATCATGTGAACATTGGGGATGCAGCGGTCACTCAGTGTAATGTCACTAAATCAATGGTTGTCAAGGACAACATCTCTCTGTCTGTCTGTCTGTCTGTCCTATCTATCTATCTGTCTGTCTTTCTGACTCTGTCCATCTATCCTATCTATTGATCTAGCCATCTGTCTGTCTATCATCCATCCATCCATCATCTAGATTCTTATTGATCTATTATGTTATCTATCATTAACTATATTGTCTTATTGATCTGTTGTCTACCTACCTGTAATCTATATTGTTTTATCTATCCATAATCTATCTAATCTATCTTATATCATATCTATTATATCATTTATCATCTCCTATCTGCCTGCCTATCTATCATTACCTATCTATATCTCTTCTATCTCTATCACTATCATCTCTCTATCTATATCTACATATCATTATCATCTATCTCTATTTATATATTTCATCTCTCTATCCTGTTTGTATCTATATCTATCGATCTGTCTTCTATCTATCTATCTATCTATCTATCTATCTATCTATCTATCTATCTATCTATCTATCTATCATCTATCTATCTATCTATCTATCTATCTATCTATCTATCTATCTATCTATCAATCATATCTCTCTTATCTCTCTCTCTATCTATCTATCTCTATCTATCATGTCTCTCTCTCTCTCTCTCATCTATCTGTCACTTGAATTAAACTCTATCCTGGTGCTACTTGCGTAACAGCTCCCCAATTCATTGATAATGAATCCATGAAGAATTTTGGAAATAAATCCCTGAGAAAGCCCAGCACACAGGGCCCCCTAACTGCTCTCTTGGGGGGCATTTGCAATCACCAGCCTGTGTCCCCCACAAGACACATGCCATTACTTTGCATTCTGGCTAAGGATGATAGGAGTTGAAGTCCAGCACTTCCTAGGATCGCATTACAGTCTTTGGGCCTCCTTTGCAGGTAGGAGCTGACCTACTCAGCCAGCTGCAGCATAAGCACTTTTCAAAAGGAAACCCCAGAGGGAGGGGGTCATGTGGTCTTTCAAAGGGACAGGGTCATCCCACTTTCCCAAAAAAAAAAACACCAATATTTTTTTTAAAAAATCCAACACATGCAAACTTAAGCAGACCACGGGAACCCCCCCTCCCTCCAAGGGAGCGACAGAACTGAGTGGGGGGTGTCAAATCAAAGCAGATTTCTATTGCAAAACTGAGACCGATTCTTTTCCCAACTTCCACTCCCCCCAACCGTTTATGTAGCCCAAGCCTCCCTCTTTCTCACATAAATACACACACACACACACACGCACAATCAGGTTGCCAAGCTGCTTGCAAGGACCTTAAATGAACCGAGATGCAACTGTCACTCACGCGTGCAAGGAAGCGGATTTAGTCCCTAAACTAAAGCCTGGAGGGTTTGCGGGCGGGGGGGGGGGGGGGGGGGGGGGGGGGGGGGGGGGGGGGGGGGGGAAGCGGGCAGAAGGAAAGAAATCACAGCGCGAGCCAACTTGTTCGGGTGAGCTCATTCGTCGCAACGCGATCGGGTCTAACGAGGAAGGGAGGTTAACTCCTTGCAAGCCACGATCAGGCCAGGATGGATGGATGGAAGGTGGTGGGCATCTCCTGCGCCTCCCCCCCCACTTTAAAAAAAAAAAAAAAAAAGACAAGGCAATAGGACTGAACCAGCAGGCGTGCAAATTCAGAATCCTGTTGAACCTCTTTTACTACCCCGTCCTGTCTATTCCCCCCTCCCCCGCTTTTGATTGCAACGTGTGCATGGTGCAGGACAAAACCCGGGCGTCGGAAGGACCAGAAGAAAAAGGAAGGAAGGAAGGCAGGAAGGAAGGAAGGAATGAAGGAAGGAAAAAGGCAGGAGAAATCAGGAAGAGCGAAGACATTGCACTGCCTTGCAAATTGCACTGTAAGCCGCATTGTACATTGCATCGCATTATAAACTGCACTGCATATTGCACTGCACTGCAAAGCCACTTCCGATCCTCCCTTCCCCACCGCCCGTTAGCCCAAGCTTGCCAGCGCCCCCATTCCGGGAGGAGGAAAAAAAAAAAGAGGGGGGGGCGCTCTACCATTTTGCTGCCGGGCTACCCGATCCAGGGAGCCCCGCTGCTCCTTTGCTCGCGGGGGGGTTGCGCTCTCCATCAAAAGGTCCAGGGGTGGAGCGAGGAAGGTGGATTGGGGGGGGGTCTTCTCGCTTATTCCGTCTAAAGAGGGGGTCTATTGCTTGCCTGGCTGCCCCCCCTCCTCCTCTGCAGCGGCCGCTGCTCGGCGCTCTGCAAGGTTCCTCGGCCGATGCTCCGCCTCCCCTCCCCCCGCCCCTTTCCGTCCCCCCCCCTCGCAAGAAGGGAAAAGGCTGGCAGCGCCTGCCTAGCATTCCAGGCGGGTGACGGAGGCGTTTGGCTTCGCTTGGCCTCAGTGCGCCTGCGCGCCCGGTTTTCCCACTTTGTAGACTCAATTCTTGACAGATTTGGCTTCTTTGCCGTCTAATGAACAGAATCGGGATGGATGCGGGACGATTTGTTTTTTTATTATTTTTTATTTATTATTAAATAAATAGGGTTTCCTGCCTGAGAGGGGGGTTGGACTAGATGACCTCCAAGGTCCCTTCCAACTTTACTATTATTATTATTAATGATTATTGGGTCTTAATTGCTCGGTATGGAATGAGCCGCCTCCTTCCTTCTCCCGTTTTCCCCAAAACAATGACCCTGCAAGGTGGAATTGGCTGTGAGAGAAGGACTGACCCAGTCACCCAGAAAACGTCCTTGCCTAAGGTGGGACTAGAACTCGCTGCTACCCAGTTATTGACCCAACTAACCAACCAGCTTTCACGCACAAGTGGGACTAGAAATCACAGTCTCCTGGCGATTGGTTCAAAGTCATCCAGCTGGTTTTCACGCCTAAGGCGGTACTAGTACTCATTGTCTCTTAGTGATTGGCCCAGTTACCCAGCTCAATTTTGTGTCTAAAGTGGGACAGTCGCCCGTGATTAAAGTCACCCCGCTGGCTTTCATGGTCAGCACCTTAACTACTATCGCTTCCCTGTGTAGAAAGTGAATCCAGGCAGGACCAACCTGTCCATGATCCGGGAGGACAACACAGATGGGTGGGGGCTTGGGTGGGGTCATTATCCTGGAAAGAACAGACGCCTGGTGGGTTTGAACCCGTGACTCAGTTGGAGGGGGAGCCCAGAGTACATTGCACTTTGCTGTCAACACAACCACACCAGCCATCTTTGGAGCACTCCCAAAACGTAGTGCATCGCCATTGCCTCTGATTGTCGGGACTGAAAAAGGGATGCTTGATCTACGAAGCTTTGGTGGGCTCAAAATATAACGTCTGAACATGTTTTAAAAGGACCACAGGGAGATTCTGGGAATTGAAGTTTTTAACAGATCAGCAGATTTGAGATTTAGGCCTTCGGATAAACTTACATCTAGGCCAGCTTAGCTAATACCCATCAGTCTGTCCCAGTGTGCCATCTGCAGGCTCAAGGCTATGTGCATCTGCCCACCTGCTATGAGCTGCGCTGGGAAACCAGGTTTTTAAAGAACCACCTTCCCCTTATTACATTCATTCGGTTCATCAGGATGGAAAGGCTAGGCATGTTACAGATCCTATCTACTAGGGGTTGCGTATCTAAAAGGGCCTTCTAAGTGGTGGCCCCTTTTCTATGGATCATCTTTCCCCCAAGGAAGAAAGGGTCAATCTATTCTCCAAAGTAGTTGAAGGCAGGACGAGAAGCAACGGGTGGAAACTAATCAAGGAGAGAAGCAACCTAGAACTAAGGAGAAACTTCCTGACAGTGAGAACAATTAACCAGTGGAACAACCTGCCTCCAGAAGTTGTGGATGCTCCATCATTGGGGGTCTTTAAGAAGGGATTGGACCACCATTTGCCTGGAATGTGTAGGTTCTCCTGCTCGAGCAAGGGTGTGTGTGAACTAGATGACCTCCAAGGTCCCTTCCAACTTTGTTGTTTGGACTGGCTCCCACCCTATAGTTTTTCTGAAAGGCCCTAAAAAGGTGATTTTGTCAGTAGGCCTGGGTGTCCCAAATTACTATGGAGCTGATCAAGTGGCTGGTTTGACTGGATTGTTGCTGCCATGGGGTGAGGTGAGGACTACCTGTATTGTGTGAGAAGTTAACAACCCTGAGCAAAAAAAAAATCTTGTGCAAAATTTCTCTTATACTAAGATGGACATTCTCTCGCTCTCGCTCTCTCCCTCTCTCCTTTTTCCATGTGGTTTTTCAGACTTTCCAAATAGATCTGTAGGCCTTGAAATTAAACCGGTTAGGCATTCGTTTTAAAAAAAAATTGGCTTTTCTCCACGGCTACAGGATTTCAGAAACAGGTTTCTCTTCACGTTTTAGGGCACACCCCTGAATATAAGCTTACAATTGAGGCCAAAATTTCCACTGCTAAGCAAGACAGTTGTTAAATGTGCTTTGCCCCATTTTACGACCTTTCTTGCCATGTCGTTAAGTGAATTGCTAGGGTTGTTAAGTGAGTTAACATGGTTAAGTGACCTTGCTTGTGAAAAGGTTGCAAAAGGTCACATGACCCTGGGGCACTGCAACCATCCTAAATATGAGCCAGTTGCAAGTTTCGATCACAAGACTCACAGCGAGGCTGCAACAATCATTAAGTGTAAAGAATGGTCATAAGCAACTTTTTTCATTGCCATTGTAACTTCAAATGGTCACTAAACAAAATGGTTGTATGATGAGGACTACCCGTAAAAGTTCTCCCACCAGACAATTGCTTTTAATTGAAGAACAGGCAATTCGTACCTAAAGATCAACAACTGATACTTAAGTGATTCGTATTTTTAATTGCATCAAAGGGAAAAAAAAAGATCATTTCAACTGTACATTTTGGCTCCTAATAAAAAGTTGAAACGGGGAGTCTAAGAAATCCTTCAAACTGTTTTGAAAATGAAACGGGCTGCTTTGAAAATTTGTGTGTGGTCTTTTTCCCCGTGAATTCAAAATGGCAACCTCAAACTCAAGTCACAAATTTGGGGGCTGAAGCAGGTCCAAGGAAAATGCTCTGCGCCACCCTGTTACGAAATACGCAGCATTTTGGCATCGTAGAAATTTAACAAATTCAGGATCGGCATTAACAGATAATAAAGAGTCGGCATATCCCTGGACCACTAAATAACAGAGTGTTATTTCTGCTGTTTAAAAAAAAAAGTTAATTATCCAATATGAAAATTTTGTGTAGATCCCGACATTTCGATTTCAAAATGAATTTTTACCTGCTGAATCTAAACCCGGGAACAAAATTTGATTGTTCCTGAAAGTTAGTTCTCTGAAATAAATTTACAGCTTGCTATCTTTGCCAATACTCATCAGCAGACTTGCAGATCTGACAGCGATAGTAGAAAGTTAGAAATGTTAGCACATCCAGACATGATGAAAATCCAGAGTCAGAAGACCATGGGAAAAGCCAACACAGCTAATGTCAGAAACAAGGAGAACATTGTTCTTGCTTCTTCACTGGATAGAGAACGGAGACTCAATGTGGTCTAGCATCGCTTGGAGTTCAGACACCAAAGTTAACTATCGGCACCTGGATTACACCTGCAAGGGTGTATTAGGTAAAACTGATTAAGAAACAGGATGGTAACCAGTTTTAACTCCTGGAATCCAAATATACATGACATTTTCCAGGCAAGGGATGAATCTAACTCCCAGAATTCAAACTGTAGTGGTGAATGATCTCTTTAAGTTAGGAACTTTCGGGATCTTCCTGAACATTACAGATCCAAGATCTTCCTGGATCTGTAGTGTCACCGTTTTCTGGGGTGTCAAGATATCAACGAACCATTATTTTGGCATTTAAGGGCAATGTTTGAAGCAGGTAGACTGCAGGTGAGATTCCTATGATTCTTCACAGTTTCATGGTTACCAAGCAAATTTCCTTCGGAAAAACAACGACCGGGCTTAAGATTGCACGTCAACCGTTATCATCTATAGTTTTGAAACGGAACTCCGGGCAACACAAAATGATCGCCACAATAAGAGTGTACAAAAAAGGTTGTGTTAAGTTTAAATAAGGCTCTGCCTTTGTTGGCAGCGATTAAGTTTTACGTAGACATTGAGAAGAAAACGAAAAAACAAAACCTCGATGCAGGCTACGGACACAAAAACTTTCTGTTAATTATAATTCGCTATGCTCAACCGGTCGGGCTCTCAGCTGTATCTGCTGCTTTCACTGGGACTTCGGCAATTAGAATAGCTGCGGTCACTTTCGCTGTCGGAACCGTAAGATCTACGAGGAAAGCAAAAATATACGTCAATACAGCACATCGGGCACCCACTTCCACTTTAAAAAACAGGTAGTTCTTGACTTACAACAGTTCATTTAGTGACCAAAGTTACAATGGCATCGGAAAAAAAAGATTTAGGGCCATTTTTCACATTTATCGTTGCAGCATCCCCATGGTCACGTGATCAAAATTTGGACACTTGGCAACTGACTCATATTTATGACTGCTGCAGTGTCCCCAGGGTCACGTGATCCCCTTTTGTGACCCTTTGACAAGCAAAGCCAATGGGGGAAGCCAGATTCACTTAACAACCGTGTTACTAACTTAACAACTGCAGTAACTCACTTTAAAGTTATAAAATGGGGCAAAACCCACTTAACACCAGAAATTTTGGGCTCAATTGTGGTCTTAAGTCGAGAACTATCTGTAGAGACTTTTCCACAATCTGAAGATAAAAACTAAGGGAATCTTTCTGGGGTGTCTTCTATCATTTGCCTCTTCAGAACCCCCTCCTCAAATATGGCTTGTTAGGCTAATGCAACCGTGTCAGGAAACAAGATTGCGCAATTATCCCTCCTTCACAAATCTGCAGGGTTTGTTCCCAAGACTTCTGTCTGAGATAATGATGTTCTAATATCTCTTCCATTTTGTTGCTAGTTATGGTTCCTGAACTTCTGTCGCCGGGTCCAAATTTTTTTCTCTGGAGTTCTGGAATGCGTGCCATGCCATGCCTAGCAAGCCAAAGGGTCAGTTGCAACTGCAGGAGGGAGCCATGTTGGTCTAAGATGGCAAAGAATCAGGAAAAGTCCCTTTTCCGATCAACTATTTTTAATAATACAGTGGTACCTCGGTACTCATTGTTAATTGGTTCTGGGAGGCGTGATGAGTACCAAACAATTTTTCCCATTAAGGAATAATATAGTGAGTCACAAGGCAGCTGACACCAAGTAATTCTAGCTTTGTGCGTCGAGTACCAAACGAGCGATGAGTACCGGGATAAAATTTTCACGTCAAAATGCGCTGAGTGTCAAATTTGATGAGTTTCAAAGCAATGGAGTACAAAGTTACCACTGAAATAATAAGAAGAGAAAGAACTGCAGAAGATCACAGCAGAAGTAGAACAAATAGAAGTAGAACAACTATGGCAATGGAAAGTGAAAAGTAATCCCGGCCAGTGATAAGTGCAATGTTGGGTGCCATCCCAAAACATCTGGAACACCCACTGAACACCTTCGGCATTGACACAATCCCCATCAGTCAATTGCAGAAGGCAGCTGACATCCTGCGAAGAGACCTTTAACGCCATCAAATATCCACATCTGCCTGTCCCAGGTCCTTGGGAAGGACGCCAAGGTGGACAAAAATGTCCAACAGCACTGAGATCAACAAAGTCCAGCCTCAGAGGCTAGGAAGGAAGGCCAGTAGATGTGAATCTGAGGGATCCAACTAGCCCTTTCCTTGTGGAATTATGAAAACAGGCCTTGAAAGATGTATTGGATCCTAATTACTGTATAATTATTGTACTAGTATTCTTTTGGATTTTGTCTGTTAAGCTATAGGTAGCCTAGAATAGTGCTTTTTAAAAGTGTGATCCTAGGACCCCTGGGGATTCTCCTCAAGACCCTTTCATGAAATCAAAATTAGTTGCTAGGCTGTGATGAAAAATAACACAATATTAAACAATTGTGAGAAGCAGTAGCAGCATGTGGTTAAGGTGACAGTCTAGAAAGTGGGAGACTGGGAGTTCTAGTCCGCTTGTAGCCATTGAAAGCTAACTGGGTGACTTTGGGCCAATCACTAGGAGATCATGAATTCTAGCCCGGCCTTAGCCATGAAAGCAAGCTGGATGACTTTGGATCAATTACCAGGAGATGGTGAGTTGAGGTCACCCTTAGGCATGAAAGCCATCTGAGTGACTTTGAGCCAATTGCCAGAAGGCTGTAAGTTCTAGTTCTTCCTTCGGCACAAAAGCTGGCTGGGTGATTCTGGGCCAATCACCAGGAGACGGTGAGTTCTAGTCTTGCCTTAGGCATGAAGGCCAGTGACTCTGGGTGAGTTCCTTTCTCTCAGCCCAACCCACCTCACAGGGAGAGGAAGGTGTGTTGGATACTGCCTTGAGTTATTTGTAAAATAATAAAGGCAGGATACAAATAAAAAAAGTGTTAACATGCTAAGTGAAAGCTCTTTTGGGATCCTCCATGATATTTAAAAAAGGGCAGGGATCCTGAGAACAAAGGTGTTTAAGAAACACTGTTCTAGAAGCATCATTCTATACTTCCCTACTTTTCCAAAATGCTGGCACTTCCACAACAGACCTGAAAATGGAATGTAAGAGTTTGCATGCAATGTTTGCCAGCCGGTCCAGTTAACAGCCAAGCTACTAGGAAAAATTTACCTGGAACGTCGGTCGTAGCTACGAGAGCGGTGGTAACTGTCACTTCTTCTGCTACGGCTACGACTCCGGCTGTAGTAACTGTCATATGTGTAGGATCTGCTTTTGTGAAGGAACCAGAAGCAAAGGATTATTTGATCTAGAATGACTTCCATTGTTAGTAATTAAAATGAGAATTGTGTGAAAGTAACAACTGCTTTTAGAGTGCCAATCTTTTGTGCTAACAAAAGGAAGGAAAGACACCTACACAATTGCAAAACAGCTGCGAGCTTTCTACCTTCTGTTGTATTATTGTTTATAACCAGAATTGTGTTTACAACTAGAAATACAGATAGTCCTCGGCTTACGACCACAATTGAGCACAAAATTTCTGTTGGTAGGCGAGATATTTTTTAAGAGAGCTTAGCCCCATTTTATGACCTTTCTTGCCATGGTTGTTAAGTAAATCACTGCAGTTGTTAAGTTAATAACAAGGGTTGTTAAGTGAATCTGGCTTCCCTGTTGACTTTGCTTGTCAGAAGGTCACAAAAGGGGATCACAACTGTCATAAATATGAATCGGTTGCCAAGAACTTGAAGTTTGATCACACGGCCATGGAGATGCTGCAATGATCATAAGTGTGAAAAACAGACATAAGTCATTTTTATCAATGCTGTTGTAACTTCGAATGGTCACTAAATAAAGTGTTGTAAGTCAAGGACTACTTGTATACCTGAATCCATTCATTATTCCTAGGTATCTCCATATTATTCCTACGGTGTTAAAATTAGGAAATTAGGAAGGAATATAAAAGTAGAGCTATGCAAGCTTCAAATGTGACTCAGAAGCATGTTTATTACACAAATATAACCCGTCTCCATTATCTATTAAAGCAGTTTTTTTTTCTTTTTCCTCCATTTTTCCATGCTTGCCTGAAAAAAGAAAATCCCTTGATACAGGTAGTCCTTGACTTGACCATTTGAGGTAAAAACGGCACTGAAAAAAAGAAGACTTATGACTGTATTTCACAAAGACGTTTAGGGGACTGGAGGCTAAAACATATAAGGAACGGTTGTTGGAATTGGATATGTCTGGTTTAATGAAGAGAAGGACGAGGGGGGACATGATAGCAGTCTTCCAATATCTGAGGGGCTGCCCCAAAGAAGAGGGAGTCAAGCTATTCTCAAAGCACCTGAAGGCAGGACAAGAAGCAACAGGTGGAAACTAATCAAGGAGAGAAGCAACCTAGAACTAAGGAGAAACTTCCTGACAGTTAGAACAATTAACCAGTGGAACCACCTGCCTCCAGAAGCGGTGAATGCTCCAACATTGGAAGTTTTTAAGAAGGGACTGGACAGCCATTTGTCTGAAATGGTATAGGGTTTCCTGTCTGAGTAGGGGGTTGGACTAAATGATCTCCAAGATCCCTTCCAACTTTATTATTATTATTACTTTTGACCATTGCAGCATCCTCATGGTCGCCTGATCAAAATTCGGGCACTTGGCAACTGACATGTATACACTACTACAGCTGCACTGTCCCGGGGTCATGCAATCCACTTTTGCAGCCTTCTGACAAGCAAAGTCAATGGGGAAGTCAGATTCACTTAAGAATTGTGTTACCTGCTTAACAAATGCAGTAATTCGTTTTAACATTTGTGGCAAGAAACGTGGTAAAATGGGCCAAAACTCGCTTCACAACTGTTTCACTTAGCAACAGAATTTTTGCACTCAATTGTGGTCTTAAGTCAAAAGACTACTGCAATTGTTTATAAAACAACGGTCAGAATACCGGTTTTCAGATTGTTTTACAAGGATGTTTATAAAAATTAATCTCGATCTTATTACCTTACCTTGACCGACTCCGGTGAGTGTAAGAATTACTTCTGGATCTGCTCCGACTGTAAGTGTGACTGTTAAAACAGGGGGAGGGGAAATGGTTGATATAGAATTTTTTAAAAATTATTTGCACGGACAACTTTCCTAGCATTTAAATGTAGGTACTTAGGTCTGAGAATTCAAATTCTTCCCTTGTTAACAGAAAACTCTTCCCTAAATGTAGAGAGGGGTCTGTAACGAAGCCAAAGTTGGCTGCAAGTAAAAAGATCCTGTATCTCTTTCAAGGTGAGCTGAGCTTCAGGGACGCAGTCGTGCACGTTGGGGGCAAGGCAGGTAATCCTCGACTTACAACTGGGTCAATTAGTGACCGTTCAAAATGATGACGGGCCTCCCCGAGGATGCTTATGACCTGCTCCTAAAGTTCCCACACACGATCACGTGGCAACCGCCCGGCTTTTACAGTTATTTGCACGTTTTACAAGAGTTTGGGCAAAAAGTGACACTTAGTTCTGGTTTTCGACAAAAGCAGCCCGTAATGAATTATTGGTTTATTTAACAACCACATTGTTCACTATTATGTCTGCGGTGTTTGCTTAATAACCGTCATCCCCAAAAGGTCATAAGATTGGACCAGTCACGTGGATTTACAATTGTCAATATTTACGACCGTGCATGACTTATTACTGTGATGGGCAGGCTCCATCATAGTCATAAGTCGAGGATTCCCTGTAGTTTAAAAGTTGTTTGCCACTGCTTTTTTCTAAAAAGTTCTTTTTTAAAAAAAAATTTCCACTCGAGTCTTAAGCGATGTAGATTCTTCTTCCTCAATTCAGCTCAACCTCTGGCGACTGCACACACGCTGTCCACAAAACCCAAACATTTCACTACGGCGTTTAGTCAGTGCTGCTTTCTCAGCTTCCCGATATGGCACTTAACAATAGCACTTAGATCAGTGGTAGCGAACCTATGGCAGGGGTGCCAGAGGTGGCACTCGGAGCCCTCTCTGTGAGCACATGTGCCGTTGCCCCAGCCTCGCCTCCCCCCATGACCCCCTCCTCACCAGCAGCCCCCCTGGAGGGGAGTCGCTCCCGAGCGTGGCCCACACAGAACAGCACAGCCAAGGACATGGCAGCCAGGCAGCGTAGACAAGACTCTGCCGTCACACCCCATCCCGCACAGTTAATGCTGCAGGGCGCGGGGAGAGGACGTGGCCATGGCGCTGCTGGGCTGCCTGGGCGATCTGCGGCGGGCCCTGGAGGTGGTGAGTGACCCTGCGGGCAGGCGGGGTGGGGGCGGGGCAAGGGGTGGAGCGGGGGTGGGGGCAGTTTTTGGGCACTCAGTCTCTAAAAGGTTCGCCATCACTGACTTAGATTTATATATTGCTTTAGAGACCTCTCTAAGCAGTTTACCCATGTCAGCATATTATCCCCAACGATCTGGGTCCTGGTTTTACCGATGTCGGAAGGATAGAAGGCTGAATTCAACCTTGAGCCGATCAGGATCGAACTCCAGACTGGAGGCAGAGTTTCCCTGCCGTACGAACCACCGTGCCAGCATGGCTCCAGTCCTTTTCCCTTGACAGACAACTTACCTATCACTTCTGCAACTGTTGTAAGAGCTACTTCGGGTTCTTGAGCGACCACGACTGTACCACCCTCTGCTCCGACTTCTCGAGTAGCTCCGGGATCTGTGTATTTAAAGGAAATGGGTTGGGAGAAAAATACACATCCGAAAAAAAAAATACCCCCTTTAAAAATACATATAATAGACCGTAAATTCAAGTTCCGTCTTAGCCATAAAACCTAGCTAGGTAACTTTGATCCAAGCACCAAGAGACTGTGAGTTCTAGTCCTGACTCAGACATGAAGGCTGGCTGGTTTGGGCCAATCATGGGGAAATGGTGAGTTGTAGTCTCACCTTAGCCATGAAAGCCAACTGGGTGACTTTGGGCCAATCCCCAGGAGACGGTGAGTTCTAGTCCCACCTTAGACATGAAAACTGGCTGGGTGACTTAGAGCCAATCTGTAGGAGACAGGGAGTTCTAGTCCCACCTTAGACACAAAAGATGGCTGGATGACTGTGGGCCAATCACCAGGAGACGGCGAATTCGAGTCTTGTCTTAGGCATGAAAGCTTTGTGGGTAATTTTGGGCCAATCACCAGGAGATGGTGTGTTGTAGTCCTAGTCATGAAACCCAGGTAGGTAGTCTTAGGCCTGTCACACTCTCTCAGGCGAACACTGATGTTGTTGTGGGAAAAACTGGATATGTTCGCTGTCTTGAGTTATTTATAAAAATAATAAAGGCAGGAAATAAATGCACAGACAGGCAGGCAGACAGATGGATGTAGGGGGAGAGGGAGAGAAATGTACTCACCTATATGAGTACGTGGAGCTCCTCGACTGGCTTCGTGAGTGACTGTAAGACAGAGATCTTGTCCGGTGCCTGGATTTAACATCCGATTTGCTCCGTGAGCGACTCCGACTTCTGGACTGGCTGTCCTCTGGGGTCGCAGAATCTTCCTCACTCGAGCTCTCGTGGTTCCGTGGCCTCCGATTCAGACGCGCCGTCTTCCTGACTTCATCAAACAGGGAGCCCGGCCTAATCTTGTTTTTACTTTTAATCTCGATCCTTAAACCCGGAGGTTTGGATTCCGAGGAGCCGGCAGCCAAGTTTTTCATTTCGACAATGTTGCTGGCGGATACGGTGAACTGCAGATTCCCAGCACCCTGTAGCGGTTTCCACTTATTGTCCCCGAGACTGCTTGATATACTTTCAGAAACTTCCATCTTCACCACGGTTTCAACGCTGGTGGAGGCTTTCGGTTTTTCCCGGTCTCGCTCTTGGTTTCCTTCTTGGAGGCTAGTTAGCCCTTTCGCATCAACGGCTTGTCTTACGTTCCGGCTTGCGGTGCTAATCGGCACCCGGGAGCTTGTGCTGGCTTTAATGTCTTGGAAATTTAATTTGAGGCTTACTGGAGAAAGTTCCAGATTCACTTTTACGGGCGAATTATGGTCCGGAGTACAGATCTCCATATCGTCTATCTGTACGGCATCCGGCCCGGTTTTGTTATTCTCCTGAGCTGCGGTGGGATTTTTGGAAACAGAGACGCTTTTATTTGAATTTGGTACAGGAGTTGAAGAAATAGCTTTTTCCTCACTGCGTTTATTCAACTGACTAGCGGATGAGGCCTGATTTGCTCCTCTCTTTGAGAGGGCAGGTTCTTCATGGGACGTCCGATCATCCTTCGCTTGGTCTTTGAGTGTTTTATCACTTTTGGAATCCTGGTCTTTGTTTTTGACTTTTGCTTCCTTTTTGGCGTGTTTCTCTCGTTCTTCTTTCGTTCCAGGTTTTCTGGCAACGACCTCCTCCTCCTCTTCCTCTTCTCCAAACTCTAAGGGGGGCTGCCAATGGAATGTCTCTTTACGTTTTTCGGCCTTGTGTTTCTTCTCCTTTTTATTTTTGGATTTTTCTTTCGCCTTTTTGCCATGGACTTTTCGGAAGGACTTTTTGGAACTTCGCTTCGGCTTCCGGGATTTGTCCCTGGAACCCGCACCGGAATCGGAAGTCTCCGTGTCTGAAGAGGAAGGATGCTTGTTCCCTTTCGACGTATCTGGGACGGGTTCTGATTTCGACTTGTGTGTGATGGGCGGGCAGGGATCCGTATCGGAGTCCGACGAGGCCTCGCCTTCCTCTTTTGCAGACAAGAGTCTCGAGTTTTCTTTCTCGCCTTGGGTCCCGTCTCTTTCAGAATTCGATTCGGAATCCCACTCGTCGCTCGCACACTTTTTCGTTTTAGCTTTCCGGCTGCTTCTGAGAGTCTCAGGTTTCTCTTTCGAAACTTTTTGTTTGGAACGGTTGCTATCCTGCCCAGGCCGAGGTTTCTCTTCGTGCTGGTTGCAACCCGAGCTTCTTTTATTTTGCTTTCGGCCCACTTTTTCAGATCTCGGCTGTTCTTTTTCTTGGGCGGGCTGGGATGGAGTCAATTTTTCACTATCGATCGAGGACTCGACGGAGGATCTGCTTGCACTCCTAGGCTTCAATGAGCTCACGCCTTTCACGTAGGGAAGCGTGCTTTCCGAACTGCTCTGCCTTTTCTTGGACAGCTCGGAATTTCTCTCACGGGATCCCAATTTTGCCCGGCTTTTCTGCCGGTCGTCCTCGCTGAGCGAAAAGTAAGAGGAGGATCCGCTGTAGCACGACTGGTCGCTGGGGAAGGGATTCCCCGAACGGGATCTCACGGTGGATTGGGATCTCGAACTGGATGGGCTTCTTGATCTTGAGGAGGACTTGGAGGAGGACCGACTTCGTGAAGTCCTGCTGCTATATTTCCACCAGCTGCCTGAACTTCTGTTGCTCTGGATTTTGGAGTAACGGCTCCGGTCGCTCTCCGAGCTCTTTTGCTGTTTAGGATAGGAAGAGGAGGAGCCGGGGTCTTTGATGCTGATTAAACTGTAACTCATCTGAGCAGGTGGTAGATGAGTGGTCTTGGCTTTCATTTCCTGAAGCCGCTCGTAAGATGGTTTCCACGGTTTTTGCCCTGGTTTCCATCTGGAAGGTGGGGGACTATCGCTCAGCGGGATGACTGGAAGGCTTTCGGCGACCACGGGCTGAATAGTGAGTTTATCGTTTTGGGGTAACGCTGTTCGTACCGGTTCAACGGAGATCAGCTTGCACTCCTTTAAATGAGCCACCACATTTTTGGGCGAGTTGGAGACTGTTTTGACCGGCTTCGAGGTGGAACTGGATCTTGACTGGCTCCTTGACTGCGAGGACATGCGAGTGTTTCTCGACTGAGAACTTCGGGAATAAGATCTGGACCCGGACCGAGTTTGGGATCGAGACTTATAGTATGAGCGAGAATCTCTGCTGGAGAGAGAGGCCGAGCTCCGCTTGTCTCTGTCGGATTTGGACCAGGCTCTTCTAGAAGAATCATCTTTAGATGTCAGGGAGGAAGAACGCGATGCTCTTTCCTGGTCACGCAACGATTTTTTCCTTCTGGTAGAAGAAGGAGAGGATTCTAACTCAGTGGAAGGAGTCTGTTTCTTTTTCATTTGTTTGTGCTTCTTCAAGTGCTTCTGCTTTTTGGCCTTCTTCTTGTGCTTCACTTTTTTCTCTTTCCGGTGTTTTTTCCGGTGACTGACATGCTGAGCGGTACTGAGGTCTGAAAAGCCATTGTGGGACCAAGAACGAGACCGCGGGGATAGACTTCTTTCATCCCACCGTCCTGGGTCGCTCAGCCTAAGGAAAAAGAAATCAAAATGTCTTCATTTTGGTCTTTGATCAGCTTTTACAAAAATTAAAAAAATACACTAAAATAGTTTAATACAGTGGTGGCGAACCTATGGCACATGTGCCAGAGGCGGCACTCAGAGCCCTCTGTGGGCACATGTGCCACCGCTGCCAGCAACTTGCGCAGGTCCATTAGGCCGCTGGCCCCCACAGGCGTCCCCCCCATGAGCAACATCAAGGAGGCCCTGCCCACCCCAGCCACGCCCGCGTCTGTCGTGACAACCACAGCCATGCCCATCCAGTGGGCCACAACCACCCAGTGGGCCACGCCCCCATGCCCCCCCCCCCCGAGGCCACCACAATGCTGATGCGGCCCTGGCACTTTGCGATAAATAAGTAGGTTTTGGGTTGTGGTTTGGGCACTCGGTCTCTAAAAGGTTCGCCATCACTGGTTTAATACATTGAAGAAGGGAAAAAAGTAATAGGAAACAGCATATCTAATTAAATGTTTTGCACAGTTGTATAACTAGGTGAAGATATTTGGCCACCTGATGTGCGAGTTTGGGGTTAGCATCCCTTAAACAAAATCAGCATAAAATGGATTATTGTGGTCCCTGGGATTTGGAAATGATTGGGGCTATCAGACCAGGTCTTGGGGTATTCATATGAGGAAGATGTTTTAGTACCATGGATCAACAAGGATAAAGTCTCTGCAAACAAGGAGTCCCATTAAATCTCCCTGCCAGTAGAGCTGATGGGAGGGTGCATCAATAGATTCTGCAAAAGGCTCATTTATATTTGCTTTATGGTTAAATTGTACAGAGGCTCTGTAGTAAAGGACCTGCAGCTCTAACATTTGGCAATCGAATTCAGGGGCACTGGTGATATCATTTTGACGATCTATGTCCCCGATTCGAACAAAGTAATCCAAAGAACAAGCGATCCCTTTGAGTACAGTGCTTAACTCCCCTTAGGCATTAAACTCTGCAAGTGCTCTAAGTAGCGCCTGAAAGATTAAAGAAACCCTGAATGAGCAACTTGAATAAAGCTAAAAACAGAGGTCTGTTAATAGCCTCTTCCTAGAGAAGAAGTCAGCAGTCACAATATACCACAGAATACTACAGCACACTACGTAGAGTTGCACTGTGGGGCCCTTGAGGCATTCTTGAGCTTGGTTTTCTTGCAGACATTTCATGACCCAACTAAGTAACATCATCAGTGATAGAAAGAAGTGGGGTTTGGAGTGTGGAGAATGGAGGAAGAGACGTTCTATGGGATCCTTGGTGCTCTCTGAGCTTTGTTTTTTCTCCCAAAACATGACACTTCAGGAAGACAACATTGTCAGCTAATTCTTACTTGTCTCCTTTACTCCACTTTTCTCCGCTGGGCGCCCTATAAGTTCTCAATCTCTGCATTTCCTCCTTCCAGTGGGGCGGTGTTTCACTGCTTCCATTGTTATCCGATTCCGTGCACGAGCGAGATGGCGTATGGTATCTCTAGAAAAAAAAAAATGCAATAGGATAACAAATGTACACCAAATCTACAGATTACGTGAAAAGTGGCTCAACAGCAGTAACTGTGTGAGGGATCTTGGAGTCTTAGTGGACAATTACTTCAATATGAGCCAGTAGTGTTCGGCAGCAGCTAAAAAAAACCAATGCAATCCTAAGCCGCATTAATAGAAGGATAGAATCAAGATCACATAAAGTGTTAGTACTACTTTATAAGGCCTTGGCAGGATCACACTTGGAATACTGAATCCACTTTTGGTTGCAACAACGTAAAAAAGGAAGAGTGCAGAGAAGAGCAGCAAAGATGATTAAAGGACTGGAGGCTAAAACATATGAAGAACAGTTGCAGGAATTGAGTATGTCTAGTTTAATGAGAAAAAGGATTAGGGGTAAGCAGTGTTCTAATATCTGAGAGGCTGCCACAAAGAAGAGGGGTGGGGGTTCAACCTATCCTCCAAAGCACCTGAAGGCAGGACAAGAAACAATGGATGGAAAATAATCAAGGAGAGAACCAATGTAGAAATAAGGAGACATATCCTGACAGTGAGAACAATTAATCAGTGGAATGACTTGCCTCCAGAAGTTGTGGATTCCCCAACAATGGAGGTTTTTAAAAAGAAACTGGACAGCCACTTGACTGAAATGGTATAGCGCAGGTGTCCCCAACCTGTGGGCCGTAGCCCAGTAGTGGGCTGTGTTCTACTGGCTACCGGGCCGCGGAACAGGCTGGCCAGTGCATGCACGTGTGCGCACGCCACCTTACTCCTGCTAGCACCACGGCTGCGAAAACAGGACACTGTGCCACGGGGTGCAAAAACAGGACGCCGCCATGCCTTGGGGCACGAAAATGGGCTGTGCCTTGCTGCGGGGCACAAAAATGGGCCACCGCCACGCTGCAAGGCACAAAAACAGACAACGCGCCATGGAAACAGGACACTGCCATGCCGCGGAGCGCAAAAATGGGTGCCGCTGTGCTGCAAGGCACAAAAACGGCACAGAAATGAGACACTGTGCCACGCAAGAACGGGGCAGGCCTAGTATCACGGCACTAGCCCCGCCCCATTTGCGGCACGCGTGTGCTCGCAGCCCCATGCGCACGCATGCATCTAAAATGCTTCCCCCTCCCTTTTCCTTTGGTCCGCCAACTGAGAAAGGTTGGTGACCTCTGGTACAGGGCCTCCTGCTTGAGCAGGGGGTTGGACTAGAAGACCTCCAAGGCCCCTTCCAACTTTATTACTGTTAATCTGTTACTTGCCCACTTTCAGGAGTAATTAAGATTGCTTGCAGACATGGGGTAAGGAAGGAAAAGGATCTGGTGTGCAAGAGAATTCGGCTCCAGAATAGAAAAGGACAGATAGTCCTCCAGTTGCGACCATAATACGATCATCTGTCCATTATGGTCATAAGTCGTAATATGGGTCAGTCATATGACCAACTCGATTTTATGACTTTTGAGGTAGTGGTGAACATCACAGTAGTTAACTGTTCCTTGTGGCACCGCTTTGCTGAAAACAGATGTGCCAATTTTGGGTAAAACAATCAAATGACGGCTAGGATGCTCCAAACAGCTGTTGATGAATGCCCGAAGCACAATCCTGTGACCAGCAGGCGGCAGCACCTGATCGCCAGGGCCTTATGTCCAGGTCTTAAATCCCTTTTTCAGGTCTGACATAACTTCAAATGGTCATAAGTCAAGGATTACCTGTAAATTCAAAGTGGGGATCTTCCTTAATTTGTAAGACAGACTTTGCATGAAGCCCTCCAGAAAATAAATTACAGCAGAATTGAACTTCGAAGTGCAAGGAAGCAAAATTCATATCCACTTTTTGTCTAAAATACTGTCTAATTCAGGGGTAGTCAACCTTGGCTCTTTTATGACTCGTGGACTTCAATTCCCAGAATTCCTGAGCCAGCTGTGCTGGCTCAGGAATTCTGGGAGTTGAAGTCCACGAGTCATAAAAGAGCCAAGGTTGACTACCCCTGGTCTAATTTCAGGTTTCAGTAAATCATTAGTTAATAGTATAGGTAGTCCTCGACTTACGACTATAACTGAACCCAAAACGTGTTGCTAAGTAAAACATTTGTTAAGTGAGTTTTGCCTCCTTTTTACAATTTTTCTTGCCACGGTTATTAACTGAATCACTGCAGATGTTAAGTGAGTAACCTGGTTGTTAAGTGAATCTGGCTTCCCTGTTGATTTTGCTTGTCAGAAGATCGCCAAAAAGGGATCACATGACCCCGGGACACAGCAACCGTCGTAAATACGAATCAGTTACCAGGCATCCGAATTTTGATCACGTGATCACGGGGATGCTGCAAAGGCCGTTAAGAGTGAAAAATGGCCATTAAGTCCCCTTTTTCAGTACCACTGTAATTTTGAACGGTCACTAAACAATCTGTTGTAAGCCGAGCACTACCTGTACAAATATAGTTTTCCAATGCTGCCTGTTTTTCATTTTTGCTATTTCTTTAGGTGTCAGAATACATTTGTCCCTATTTTGAAATTTCAATGAGTGCCCAGATGAACGGAAGCTGACCTTAGGGCTGCACAACCCACATCTACACCCCGTGACTAAGTTAATCAAGCCAGAGCAACCTTTCAGCTGCTTTTAAAAATAAAACTCTCCAGTTGTAAATTTGAAATTAAAACAACAACAACAACAAGAACAACATACTATTGTGCCTCTCCCTCTGATTTTTCTTCCAGATTTTGACACCGACGGCTTCTGGTTGCCCGAAGCGGGTCCTGCATCAATGTTTCTCCTAAAATATTCAGAAGAAAATAAGTATCAGGAAAAATGAACTGGAGTTACAAGCAGGTTTCTTGTAATCAAAGTATGGCCTAAACTGAGCAGGTGCGGTCAACAGTCCTGCAACTAACTGCTTATCTTTGTTGTTAGCCCAGTTGGGGGGGGGGGTCCCATGTGTGACTCTCTCCTGCAGACGACCTCGTTTTGTTTATTAAGGTAGACACTGCTCATCTCGCCAGGAGGCGATTCCGTGTGGCACACAGCCAAGTAAAGACAAGATAAACCATTAAATGTTAAAATCCATCCATATCTATCTATCTATCTATCTATCTATCTATCTAATCGTATATCTATCTATTCATTCTATTTTATATCTACTATCTGTCTCTTCTATTGTATCTATATCTATCTCTTCTATCGTATCTATCTCTATCTATCTATCTATCTATCTATCTATCTATCTATCTATCTATTCAATCGTATATCTATCTATTCATTCTATTGTATATCTACTATCTATCTCTTCTATCGTATCTCTATATCTATCTCTTCTATCGTATCTATCGTATCTATCGTATCTATCTATCTATCTATCTATCTATTTGTATCTATTCTCTCAAGAACTGACTGTAGTTGAAATATATAAAAGAATGAGAAATGTCATAGGCCAGTGGTGGCGAACCTATGGCACGGGTGCCAGAGGTGGCACTCAGAGCCCTCTCTGTGGGCACACGCGCCGTCGCCCCAGTCCTAGGCCTTCAGCTGGGTTTTATAAAACTTTTTCGCTTTAGGCCTCTGCCGCCGTGTGCAAAAAAAAAAAAGGTTCAATCAATCAGTCAATTTCAACTTCTCGCAGGAAAAAAAAAGATCTTGGAAAGTTGGAATCGATTGATTGAACTTTTTAGTCCCACCCAGTCTGCCGTTACCACCACAGCCACGCCCACCCAATGGGCCACGCCCACCCGGCACCCGACGATGCATAAGTGGGTTTTGGGTTGCAGTTTGGGCACTCGGTCTCTAAAAGGTTCGCCATCACTGGCATAGGCTCTTCTCAGTTCTTGGAGTGCAAGTCCGAGTCTCTCATAATATCAGTTGTGGGGTCCATGGTGCTCTCTGAGCTTGGTGGTTTTCTTGCAGACGTTTCCTGACCCAGCTAGGTAACATCATCAGTGCTAGAAGTTCAAATCCTATTCCCTTCTAGCACTGATGATGTTACCTAGCTGGGTCAGGAAACGTCTGCAAGAAAACCACCAAGCTCAGAGAGCACCATGGACCCCACAACTGATATTATGAGAGACTCGGACTTGCACTCCAAGAACTGAGAAGAGCCTATGACATTTCTCATTCTTTTATATATTTCAACTACAGTCAATCAGTTCTTGAGAGAATCAAAGTTTGCAACATTTCAAACAGGCCCTTGTTTAGACAGAACCAGAAATAAAAGACGGTCTTGTCTTCACTAATTTAGTTGCATCTACTGCAGAATATTACAGGTAGTCCTCGATTTGCAACCATTCATTTAGTGACCGTTCAAAGTTACAAAGGCATTGAAAAACGTGACTTATGACTCTTTTTTCACATTTAAAACCATTGTAGCATCTCCATGGACATATGATCAAAATTTGGATGTTTGGCAACTGACTCATATTTATGACGGCCGCAGTGTCCCGGGGTCATGTGATCCCCTTTTGCGACCTTCTGACAAGCAAAGTTTATGGGGAAACTGGATTCACTTAACAACTATATTACAAACTTAACAACTGAGGCAAGAGAGGCCATAAAATAGGGCAAAATTCGCTTAACAACTGTCTTGCTTAGCAACATAAGTGCTGGGTTCAATTGTGGTCATAAGTCGAGGACTATCTGTACTAAAGATAAGAGGCAAAGGAAGATACAACTTCTCTCCCAGTAAGAATGATTTCAGCTCCTAAAATATACAATCTTTTTGATTAATATCTGAAATATAAATAAGTACGTTTGGTCCGGCCACTTAGGTTACAAATCAAGGCACAAAGAATTAAAAATAAGCGCAATGCATACAGATCTGGCTCTGTATTTATAATGGGTGCGTCTCTTCTAAGCAGGAATCTGTTTTCCGGCACGGGAGGTATTTCTTCCGGACGGACGACCGGTTTATCCCTTTTCACACTCAGGTCCGCTGATTTTTCGTTTGTTTCGCTCCGATCAGAATGGCTAGAAGGAAAGAGAGCGATTTAGGACCACAGAGGCTAATTTGCACCCGTTTCAAAAGGCAAGCAAAATGATCAGTAAATTAACTTGACCTCCTCCAGGTTTGATACAAATGTAAATAAGGAAGCCACATCTTGCTTTTGTAAAAGTAAATCTAACTCAATCCTTTTTCGATAATTAAAGGTGTTCTCTCTGCTATCAAGTTTTAATTGTTCGCTGTTCAGCGCCATTCCTCAGGGACAATAAAAATAGAACTTTACGGACTCTAATAACATCCATGGAAACATGCAGGCTTTTCTCACTTAACAACCAGTCACTTAATCAGGATCCCCCCCCCAAGGTACTTATAACACAGCTCTGAAGTTACAACAGCTGCACTCCCCCTCCATGATCATGTGATCAAATTTTGGGATCTTGGCAACTTTTGCGGCCATTTGCAATCTCCCAGCCGACTAACCACAATTTGGGGCATTCTGTTTGCCAATTTCTAACATTTACAGGTAGTCCTTGACTTACAACCATTCATTTAATGACCATTCAAAGTTATAACAGCACTGAAAAACGTGACTTAGGACCGTTTTCCACACTTACGACTATTGCAGATCAGGCGATCAAAATTCAGACGCTTGGCAACTGATTCGCAGTGTCCCAGAGTCACGTGATCCCCTTTTGCGACTTTCTGACAAGCAAAGTCAATGGGGAAGCCAGATTCACTTAACAACCGTGTTACAAACTTAAAAACTTCCATGATTCACTTAACAACAGTGGCAAGAAAGGTTGTAAAATGGGGCAAAACTCACTTAACCACTGTCTCGCTTGACAAGGGAAATTTTGGGTTCAATTGTGGTTGTAAGTAAAGGACTACCTGTATCTTCTGATTTCCACCAAAAAAACATTCAATGGCTCAAATGGAATTGTTTAACTACTGCAATATTTGTTTAACGACCATACTGTTTGCTGAACAACTGCTGCAAAAACAGTCATAAAAACACGTAGTGGCCCACTTAACAACTACCATGACTTACAACCATAATCCCCAGCCCAGTTAGGATTGTAAGTTGAGGACTACCTGTTCATAGCCAATATCTTTAAATGTAGTTTTAGAATCCCCAGTTCTACGCTCGCTGGGAATTCAAGACGTTACATTCTGACATGATGCAGAGATGGAAATCGCTATGCTCTAAAAGGCTTATTTTTTAAGCTTTTTAAAAAAAAGATATTTGTTTTGCTGCCATTATTCAGCACTTTTCTAGGCCTGACCTGTACATATATATACTTTACTGTATACATTAAATATATATACACTTCAGACCGAAGTATCCACTAAGGCAAAAGCTTGTCCACTCCAAGGATAGAACACCCAGACACAATCTGAGCAATGTGGCATATGCAGTATAGTGCAGTGAATCATGTGCAGATCTGTACATTGGGGAAACAAAACAACCACTTCACAAACGCCTGGCACAAACATAGGAGAGCAAACCCATCGGGACCAGATTCAGGAGTCCTTCTACATTTAAAAGACGAAGGCCGCTCTTTCGAAGACAGCAAAGTCCACATTCTGGACAGAGAGGATCACTGGTTTGAAAAAGGGGTCAAAGAGGCCATCTAGGTCAAAACTGAACAGCCCTCCCTCAACAGAGGGGAAGGGATACGACATCAGCTATACCTAGTCTACAACACAGTCAGCAGTTTCAAGAAGGCTCCACACCCATTTGCCTATTCAGGCACAGATAATCTCCAAGTGGAATCAATGGCTCTGAGAGAGAATGCTAACATCTAGTTAGAGGAATATAAATCCTTCAATCAGTCAGAACTGAAGAAGCTTCCTGGATGGGAAGCGAAACATCTTCAAGCAAAAACAAAGTCCAGTTGCTTTTTGAAAAAAAAAGCACCTTTGGGACAACAGTGACCTGGATGATTGAGAATCTCCACAAGACTGACCTGTGTTTGTTTTTTGTTTCCTCTTTTTTCCTCTCTTCCCGTCTTCGTTTCCTGGATTGTTTAGCTTTGTTCCTCCTCTTCCTCTTCCTCCTTCTGCTTCGCTCATTTTCATATTCGCTGTCGGAAGACGATTCCGATGACGTGGATGTGCTGCTGGAGGAGCTATTGGAAGCTTCTGAGTGACTCCATGCTTTCCGCTTCTTCTCCAACACTTGGGAAGGAAAAAAAAATCACATGTTTTTAATAATCTTTAGGAAATCACATGGATCGACAATCGTCAGGAATATAGTTAACAATTACAGGTCGCTATTTTGGGGTCACAGTTACATACAGTACATGTTATCGATAAAGGAGAATATCTATAGCTCAGGGGTCCTTGGTGCTCTCTGAGCTTGGTGGCTTTTGTTGCAGACATTTCATTATCCAACTAGGTAACATCATCAATGCTAAAAAGAGTGAGGAGGAGGAGGAGGTAGAGGAGGACTTGGTACTTTCTGAGCTTGGCTGTTTTCTTGCAGACATTTCATGACCCAACTGGGTAACATCATCATCGGTACTAGGAGGGAGTGGGGTGTGTGGAGGCAGGAGGAGGAAGATTATAGAATCCTTGGTGCTCTCTGAGCTTCTTTCCTTGGAGATATTTCATTACCAAACTAGGTAAAACAATCAGTGCTAGAAAGGAGTATGGTTTGTGGAGGAGTAGTGGGAAGACTGAGCGATCCTTAGTGCTCTTTGACCTTGGCTGTTTTCTTAGAGATGTTTCATGAACCAACTAGGAAACATCATCCGTGTTAGAAGGGAGAGACGGCTGAAGATGTTCCCTAGTTGGATCATGAAACTTCTGCAAGAAAACCACCAAGCTCAGAGAGCACCCAGGACCCCACAGTTCAATTCTGTGGTACAAATATTCTCTCCAATCGATAATTTCATATGATAGGGTATTGAACAGATTTACACACGGCTTTATTTGCAAGTAAATATTCTGCTCTCTCTCTATATATATTTTTTTATTCAGAACTCAGCATCCAATAAAACCTTCCCTAGGGTCACAGCAGAATCTGGCCAGAGTGGGGGGACAGGATAGCAATATTCCAATATCTCAGGGGCTGCCCCAAAGAAGAGGGAGTCAAGCTATTCTCCAAGGCTCCTGAAGGCAGGACAAGAAGCAACGGGTGGAAACTAACCAAGGAGAGAAGCAACCTAGAACTAAGGAGAAACTTCCTGACAGTTAGAACAATTAACCAGTGGAACAACCTGCCTCCAGAAGCAGTGAACGCTCCAACACTGGAAGTTTTTAAGAAGAGACTGGACAGCCATTTGTCTGAAATGGTATAGGGTTTCCTGCCTGAGCAGGGGGTTGGACTAGATGACCTCCAAGGTCCCTTCCAACTTTATTATTATTATCATTATTATTATCATTATTATTATTATTATTATTATTATTATTATTATTATTATTATTATTATTATTATTATTATTATTATTATATTCTAGGATCCTTTTGGTCGTGAAGCATGTCTCCCTGGAAAGAAAGGCTTACCATCCTTTGCCGATTTGGTAACCAGGACCCCACAGTCAATGACGCGCACGTCGGCATACGGCCTACTGGCAGAATCAGTTTTCAGATTTTCGATTTGTTCTATGACTTCAAAACCAGAAATGACAAGTCCAAAGACGACATGGACGCTACAAAAACAGAAAATGCCAAAGGTATACTAGACTGTACAAAAGGGGGGAACTTGGCTGGTTGTGTTCACGCTGAATTCTTATCTGGGTGTATTGCGTGGGTTTACCTACAACCGTCTACAGGTAGTCCTTGACTTATGACCGCAATAGAGGCCCATAATTCCTGTTGCTAAGCAAGACGGGTTAAGCTGGTTTCAGAGAAATTGAGACCCCAAATTTCACACCACAATTGAGCCCCAAATTAACATTGCTATGCCAAAGAGAGGTCAAGTGAGAGTTGCCCCATTTTACAACCTGTGTTGCCACAGTTGTTAAGTGAATCACGGAAGTTGGTAACACGGTTGTTAAGTGAATCTGGCTACTCCACTGACTTTGCTCGTCAGAATGCGGCCAAAGGGGATCACGTGACCCCGGGACGCTGCGAATGTCATAAATAGGAGTCAGTTGCCAAGTGGCCAAATTTTGATCACATGACCATGGGGGATGCTGCAATGGTTTTAAGTGTGAAAAACGGTCACAAACCACTTTTTCCAGTGCCGTTGTAATTTACAATGGTCATTAAATGAATGGCTGTTAAGTCAAGGACTCCTTTAATTGTCCAAATGAGCATCTTAAATCAAACAGAGGAAACTACATCTAGCCCCCATCATAACCTACTTTTGCTGGGGATGAAATTAATTCCCTCAGGTTGATTTTCCGTATTTGTGGTACTTATGAAGCCTTGCCCAAAAAAACAAATAAACAAACCAGCTTTCTCTGTAGTTTGCAACACATACAACCGGTTCTCCAGGGGGAGACAGAAAAAGTAATGGTGGTAAAGACCCCTCTCCCAATCTAATGATAGTGATTCACCCAGGTTTAATTTTTTCTTTTTTTTTTAAAAAAAAAAAATCCTTTTCCCTTTTAAAGAGAAAACAAATCAGCGAAGCAGGAACCAGGAAGGGGAATTCTTTCCAACACCTTGCTGGAGTTGGGATGACTGAAACAATGGATAATTGATGGAAAGGATGGGTTTCAATAATTGTATTCCTGCAAACTTAGAAATGAAGGATATTAAATTAGATTAAATGTTTAAATGTTTATTTGCACTTAGGGCTACGGATGTCATAGTTTGAAACAGAGCCCTCAAAGTGAGGCGGTTCATAAACTCAATCTATCCCAAAGAAAGAACCCAATGATTATCAATATTAGTTTATTAAGGTTATTTATTTATATCCCAGCTTTATTATTTTTTACAACGAACGCATCACCCCCATAGGTGGTTTTAGATCCACACCATGTGATTATGAGTCTTGTTCCTCCACCTTTCTCATTATCGTTTATTTCTGTCCCATCTGTATTATTTTTATAAATAACTCAAGTCAGCAAACATCCCTAATACTCCTAACTCCTCCTATTTTCCCAACAGCCACCCTGTGAAGTAGGTTGGGCTGAGAGGAAGAGAGACTGGCCCAAAGTCACCCAACTGGGACTAGAACTCACCCTCTCCTGGTGATTGGCCCAAAGTCACCCAGCTGGCTTTCATGGCTAACACAGGACTTGAACTCACAGTCTCTTGGCTTTTAGCAAGGTACCTTAACCACTATGACTTGTGGACTTCAACTCCCAGAATTCCTGAGTCAGCATGGCTGGTTCAGGAATTCTAGGTATTGAAGTCCACAAGTCATAAAAGAGCCAAGATTGCCTATCCTTACACTAGAACAGTGATGGCGAACCTTTTAGAGACCGAGTGCCCAAAAACTGGCCCCGCCCCCACTCCATCCCCCCATCCCTTGCTCCGCCTGCCCGCAGGGCCACTCACCACCTCCAGGGCCCGCCGCAGATTGCCCAGGCAGCCCAGCAGCGCCATGGCGGCCACGCCCTCTCCCCGCGCCCTGCAGCATCAACTGTGCGTGATGGGACGTGAGGGCAGAGACTTGTCTACGCTGCCTGGCTGCCATGTCCTTGGCTGCGCTGCTCCGCGTGGGCCACGCTCGGGGGCGATTATCCTCCAGGGGGGCTGCTGGTGAGGAGGGGGTCACGGGGGGAGGCGAGGCTCGGGCAACGGCACGTGTGGCCACAGAGAGGGCTCCGACTGCCGCCTCTGGCACCCGTGCCATAGGTTCGCCACCACTGGCTTAGACAAATCTACCTCTTTTTGGATAGCAAAGTTTTTCTCAACTTGTTTTTCTCTCCAGGACCCCTCAGGACAACATTGCCATAAATTTGTGATAGGATGGCAAAAAGCTCAGGTTGAAAGCAATCTAGTTTTTCCAAGTTAAGTCCGATACAAAGCTCCTAACGGGAAATAATAGGGGGGGGTCTTACCTATCAAGATGAGGAGCAGGCTTCGTAGTTCTGTTTGGCATCAACATACCCAAGACGTTTATTGTTGGGGGGGGAAGGGAAATCAGGTTTTCAGATGAGGAGATAAAAGGCAGAACGGCAGATAAAAAAAAGTAAGGGAAGAAAAAACATAGTTAATTTAATAGATAAAACCTATTGGTACTAAACTCAGGAAACATCACTTGTCACACACTACAATATAACACTACACTTGAACTTCATTTTTGACTGAAATTAAATGCCTATGATATAGATAGTGTCTCTATTTTACCAACTGAACAAACTATCATGGATTCATTCACATTTGAACTATTCACAATTACAATCTGGATCTTGGCAACAGTACAGAATAAATTAGAGGCTGCTAATATGTTTGATACTGCACAAAGCCACCTTCTTTTAAATATATTAGGCACACAAATACACGATAGTTTCAAACCACCTTGTCCCCCCGTTATTTTACTAAGTCTACAAATCAACACGAAACCATTCAGAGTTTTGGAAAATTAGCATTCCAATTGATGGGACTGTCAACCTTTAGAATAAAGAGGTTTCTATGCCTTTTTGTGAAGTCTGTGTTTCAAGAATATAAAGCCACTGCTCATCCTTCGATTGAGTGGGTGGGTGGGTGGGTGGGTGGGTGGGTGATGATGTTAAACTGCAATCCCAAACAAGGTCAAAACGTTAGAGCTTATGGCAAAAACCTGCAATTGTATACTTATCTACTGAAAAATAAATGCCATCAAATTGATTGCATATTTACTTGAAATAACATGTATGGTGGTTATGGTTTTAAGAGCCTATCTTGTGATTTTACTCTCTATGCTAAAATACAAGGAACATTTAAAAAAAAAGGACTTGACAGTCCAATATCTATTGACAACCTGCAGAGAGGAATTAGTGGCCTTTGAAAATAATCTGCATTTTATTTGTTAGGGAAAGAAATTGTTTTCAAATATAACATGGGGGCTACCAACTAAATTATCAGGAAGTGTTTGCTGAAGTTACCCTGGGAAATGCCTCTGTATTAACTAGCTATAAAGCAATATATCAGTGATGGCGAACCTTTTAGAGACTGAGTGCCCAAACTGCAACCCAAAACCCACTTGTGCATCATCGGGTGCCGGGTGGGTATGGCCCATTGGCTGGGTGTGGCCAATTGGGGGGTGTGGCCATTTGGGGGGCGTGGCCAATTGGGTGGGTGTGGCTGCAGTGGTAACGGCAGACTGGGTGGGACTAAAAAGTTCAATCAATCAATTCCAACTTTGCAAGACCTTTTTTTTTCCCGCGAGAAGTTGAAATTGACTGATTGATTGAACCTTTTTTTTTTTGTACACGGTGGCGGAGGCCTAAAGCGAAAAGGTTTTATAAAACCCGGCTGAAGGCCTAGCACTGGGGTGAGGGCGCGCGTGCCCACAGAGAGGGCTCTGAGTGCTGCCTCTGGCACCCGTGCCATAGGTTCGCCACCACTGCAATATATCATCCTGAGATACTTTTGCAAATGTTTAAATAGTCTTTATTTTTTTTGCCACAGCTATCTTTGGGGGGGGAAGAGCGACGGACAAAGAAGCGATCCAAAATTATTGAATTTCCATTCTTTCCAAGCAGGGTATCAATCATTTTCTATTTTGAGCCTAAGAACTCAGCAGCTGTTCCCTGGATCATTTTAACTAGAGGGCAATCTAATGGGAATAAGGGTGTACATGCTATCCCAAGTACAGGTAGTCCTTGATTACAATCGCAACTGAGCCTAACAATTTGGTTGCTAAGGGAGATACTTGCTAGTCGAGTTACATGGTATTATGTATTATGCCTGGAATTATGGTCGTAAATCATGACGGTCATTAAGCAGGTTATCAATGGCCGACCCAATTTACTTTTTTTTTTTTGCGGCGCTTGTTAAATGAATCCCTTGTCTGCAACGCCCATTTTTTTTTTCCCGATACCAGACGGAAACACCAGTTTCCACCCAGAAACATAAATCACGGTCATGTCAGTGACCCAGTAAACGGGAGCCAGTTGCTAAGCGCTGCAAATACGATCACCTGACTGTGAAGGGGAGGCAGCTGTCAGGACGTGGAATCTGAATCGCAAGTGCTTTTTTGGGATCTGTCACCACTTTGAACAGTTGCTAAGCAACCGGTCGTAAGTCAAGGACTACCTGTGCTGTTTGAGATGCGCTTGGTGAGAAAGGCACGCAGAATATGCCCTTGGGCGAGTATCAGCCATAATCACTGATCTTTTTGGCTGGCTGGAAATACTGTGAACACTGTTGACCGGGTCTCATTTTTTTTGTCTCTCAAAAATTAAGGCTGGTCTGGAGGCCCACCCCCCTACCCTCAAGGGGGACGTTGTTCCAGGGCTTGCAGTCAATAGGGCCACTTGCCCACTACTTCTTTCTGCAAAGCCAGAAAAGTTAACAGAATTATTTGCTGATCAGATCAACATGGGCAGGGCGATCTCTACAATCCTTTGTCTCCAGTAGTAATAGGGTTTCCTGCTTGAGCGGGGGCGAGGGGTGTGTGTGTTGAAGACCTTCTTCTAACTCTGTTATTCTGTTTAATCCGTCTGCTCTCAAATCTTGAGAGAGTCAGAAAAACATGCAAGGGTTAGCATGCAATTGCCCGGCTCTTTTGCTCTAAAATGAATAAAGAACACGGGGCCCATTAGAGCTTTCGATTTAGGAAGCAGAAATGTGAATTCTTATTATTATTGTTGTTCCTTTTTGCAAAGTGAGGACAGAAAGATCTGTCGGGCGCGAAGGTAGGACTGGGGGACAAGCGTGCTCATTCTTCCTTAAGTGGTCTAAAAGATTAAGCAACATTATTCTATTGGAATAGCTTTACCTTTGCAAAGAAACGAGCATACACATACATTTATGTGTTCCAAACACTAAAAAATATATTCAAAAATGTTGGAGCAGAAGTATTAAGCATTACCTTGCTAGCAAGTGGCCATTAAATGTGTTATTGCTATGGCTGGGTCTAATCGCATAGACTGTATGTGAAGTGAATTTCATATGTATGAATTAAATAGGGGAATTAAACATATGGATATAAATTAAATATTTGTAATCGAGGTCCATAAGCTCAAATGTAATTTCTGACCCAAATATAAAGGGGTGATCTTGGCAGGCTCACCCAGCCCCAGTTCCTCTCTCTATAAAACAACTGAATCTAATGAGGACAAGAACAGAATTATGTAGTTTAAACTGCAACCCAAAGTGACTGAACTGAAATCCTGAATTAGAAAAAAAAAAACCAAGAGATTGTTAGGTTGAGAGTCAGTGTAACATCCTCAGTTCTAAATGAAAGTATCCATCAACAATTTTGAAATATTTTTATTAGTTTTCATCATAAAGATACTTTGGGTCTTTCAAACACGCTAAGTATTTTCAGAAAAACAGGGAGGGAGGAAAAAAAAACATTTGAACAGCATTAATAGCAAGAATTCTTAACGATGCCTTACCTATTGGTCTTCCTCCAAATTGGAAGTGTGTTATAAGCTCAACATTTTGAATTTAATACTACTGAAATACTGATTTCAAAATATGAATGTTATTTAAACTGGTGGGTATAAAACAACTTACTCAAAACTCTGCATTTAATATTACTGAAATACCGATTTCAAAATATGAATGCTATTTAAACTGGTAGATATAAAACAATACAATCATTTTAAATAACCATTTCTTCCTCTTGATAATAGTTCGCAAGATTGCAGAAAAAAACACATCAACTACTACTGCTCTAGGCATTCTTTGATTTTTCAAAGCCATTTTTCCCCCGCGAAGAGAAAAATGACTGAAAAAAAATTCTAGTTCAAAAGTTTGGGATGGAACTGAAAATATTTACTGCTACAATTAGTGAGAATTTTTGCATGGTTTATCCTGAAATAAGGCTTTAAAAAAACCCCCCCAGGGTTGCTATAAAGAAGTCTCTCTCTTTCTCAACCCCAGGGAGAACACCACAAGATTCAATTCACATATGATCAGAAAAAAGACAAGAAAGACAGAAAGGAGAAAATGAAAAGGAGGGGAAGAAGGGAGAGGGAGAAAGAAGGAAGGAAAGAGAGAGAGAGAGAGAGAAAGAAAGAAAGAACACAGCCTTAGAGGAATGAGACATTACCTTTGGAGCGCACGATGTAACACTGTTTCTGTAAATTTTACACAAAAATGGCAAGAAATAAATTGTAGTACAATTCCAAACAAACTTGAGACTATGTTTAATACAGCTTTTAAGTACTTTTTTTTTTTTGCGTTTCAGCTGAATGCAATTCTCTATGTGTTTGCAAAACCAAGGTCCCGTTTTATTTTTATTTTTTTTAAAAAAATAGGGCTCTAAGCTTTCTTTACGTTCACCTTTGTTTAGGGCTGAGGATTTTTATACCAGTAGAAATAGTGAAGAGTCACTACGAAAAATAGACTCAGTTAAAATTCTCTCTCCGACAAGTCATTTATCCTTTGCCTAGAGTCAGTTTCCGCCACCCAAGTTACGACGACACGTGGGAAAGTTACTTGAGCGGTTTGGGTTACAAAAAGATTACAGGTAGCCCTCGACTTATGATCACAACTGAGCCCAACATTTCTGTTGCTAAGACAGTTGTGTGAAGTGATTTTTGCCACATTTTACAACTTTCTTCCCACAGTGGTTAAGCATTAAGATAGTCACACAGTTGTTAAGAGAATCTGGCTTCCCCCATTGACTTTGCTTGTCAGAAGGTCGCAAACGAAGCTCACGTGACATCCCCCTCCCCAGGACACTGCAACCGTCAAAAGTACAAGTCAGTTGCCAAGCGCCTGAATTCTGATCACGTGACCATGGGGATGCTGCAATGGTCGTTAAGTGTGAAAAACAGTCCTAAGTCACTTTTTTTTTCAGTGCTGTTGTTAATTTCAAACAGCAACTAAATGACCGGTTGTTAAGTTGAGGGCTACCTGTACTCAAAGGATTATAAAGACTGTTTATAAAGACTATAAAAACACAGAAGCCCATCCTCAGCGAGGGGTGTGTATCATTTTAAAATGCCCTTCCACAAACTCTACATAAACATGATTAAAGGGAAGGATTATCTGGGTTTCCAGCACAGTCAGAAATAAGCCCTGCAAAGCAGGCAGGATTAATCTTGGTGATGCTTTGGCTTGTAACAGGCCAGAAAACCAGTATCGTAAAGCTTTCAACCCACGTATAAATGCTAGTGACATCAGAAACCATATGGTTATAATAAACAGGGGAGGTTGTTACCATTCTTTTCACAAATCAGGATAATCACTGGGATTAGTAAGTGAAAAGCTCTCATTTACACAGGCCTAGCTTGGCTTGAATGCAGAATGCTTCAACAGCTTGATTCATGTTTTGTTTGTACCTATCAGCAGGGTTTATACTTATTAAGAAACAATTTACGACACAAAATTCAGGTTAAAGTTGTTATGAAAATTATGAGAAAAGCCACATACTTTTTTTTGCAGCAACTTTTTCAAAAATTGAATAATCCCGTGCAGTTCAATAACCTTTGAATTCCATCAATTTTTTTTAGAATTTTTCCCCCAGAACTTAAAACAGAAAAATAACAAAGCTGAAGAAAACCTTAAGTATCATAGGTAGAATAATAAAAAACCTCATTTCTCTCTCTCCCCCACCCTATCCTTCCTGGTCACATTGAAGAAAGATGAAAAAAAAAATGTTCCAAAATACTTACAACTGAAAAAGAAAATGTCAACCATGTATTCAAGGGGGCATTTCAACCAACCCCAGTTTGCAATACGAATGTTAATATTTGGGTGTGCTGAGGGGGGGGGGCAGAGAGAGAAAGGTCAACAGCAGAAAAAACACTGTCTTCTAAACCGTTATCATCCTCTATTTTATCACCAGTAACTGAGTTTTAACATGCTTGAGATAAATACGTGTCCATCATCCGACAAAACTTAAATAAAAATAAATATAATTTTAAAGTAAAGACATAAAGTTAAAAGTGCAACAAAAACCACAAAAAACCTCAAAGGGAAAACTTGTTGGATCACTGGGTCTTTTTTTCTGCCTTCAGTTTTCTATGTGCTATTTTCCTGGCTTCTGAGCACTGCACTGTATCATAACTTATTTCTACATCATACTTTTATTTCAAACTGTATTGCTCCTCAGTGGGTTTTGTAGATTGGCAGCCAGCATCCCAAGGGTTCAATCCACAAGCAGAAATACTGATTTTTCTTTGCAGTATTGTTTAATCCCTTCGTTATGAAAGGTCTTGGTACACCTCAAGATGTTGCTAAGTAGGGTGAACACCTAGCTGGCTTTTTAAATTTCAGCCACTAATAAACAGTTTGCAGGTAGTCCTTACAGGTAGACTTATTATCACAATGGGACTCCCCCAATTTTTTTTTTTGCTAAGCAAGGAGGTTGTTAAGCGAGTTATTCCCCATTTTACAACCTTTCTTGCCACAGTTACTAAGCGAATCATTACAATTGTTAAGTTATCACGGTTATTAAGTGAATCTGGCTTTTCCCATTGGCTTTGCTTGTCAGAAGGTTGCAAAAGGGATATCAGGTGACTTTGGGACACTGCAACCGTCGTAAGTACATGCCAGTTGCCAAAAGTCCAAATTCTGATCATGTGACCAGGGAGATGCTGCAATGGTCATTAAGTTTAAAAATAGTCATTTTTTTACAGTACCATTATAACTTTGAATGGCCACTAAATGAATGGTTGTAAGTCAAGGACTAAGTGTACCTTGCAAAGCTGAGAATACCCCACCACCAGCGAGGCATACAAGCTGTATCTTTCTTTTATGCAAAAAAAACCTGTCTACAAACTTATTGAACCTGTAATATTGCACTTATTTGCCTTTGAATGCAACTTAAAAGTCTGTCATGGCAAAAAAAGATTATCCTATATCAGCTGCATTTTCACTTATTCAGCCTTTCTCCCACCAAATAACTAACTGTAACCACAATTATAATTATAATAATTAAAGAGGGCATGTCTACCTTCCCTGAACTCAAGGTAATGTACAATGAATGTTAAACTTATCTTAAGCAGGATTGCATAGGATTTAAAGGTATACCATAGGGTAAGTTGCTGGCGCCACCTTTTATTGCTAAAAGTGGGCCTGTAAGTTATAAATTTCAATTATGTTTAATGTTTTCATTATTTTTATTAGTTTTCTAAATTGTAAGCAGTCCAGAGTTACCTTGTAAGGGAGATAGGAGCCATAAAAACTTAATAAACAAACAGCTATATTAATTAAGTGCTCTTGTAAATATTGCCATGTATTATTAAATAAACTTTACAGTTCACCAGCAGCTTCATAATCAATGTGTTAGCAGTTATATTTTGTTAGTTCAAATAAGCTTGAAAACTGGAAAAAAGTATGGGAGAACAAACAAATTATTTTTATTTTCTACTATACGTCTAGTTCATGCCAATCTCAAGCATAAGGGAAGCCATCTGTCTGCCAAACTAGAAATCTCTATAAACCTGCCTTACCTTCCTAATGAGGCAAAAGTTATTTCCAATTTTATATTGATTTTTTTTCATTTTGGGGACATTCCTTAGGAAACGAGTTAAATATGCCTCTTATCTGTACATTATTCAGTAATGGCAGAGACCTCTTTTCAATTTAATCTTCCAGAGCAGTGATCCCTTTAAGAAGGTAACAAAGCACTATTCATTCTTATCAAGAAAGATGGCAAACCTGAGAGGAAAATATATATTTGCCATATATATATACATAGCAACCAGGACTGGTAATTCTAGTAAACATGCTTGAAACCAGTAAGATCCAAAATTCATCAAATAGCAAAAATCCAAGTTGTCTTGTCTCAAAGACAAGATGAAACGAATACAGCTTGTGTTTTTGTAATTCTGGAATATATGTGGAAGACAGGAAAAGAATGTTGAACCACAGATTCTAATAAAATTCAGCAAAACCACTTGGAGTACAGCAGGTTAATTTCACTTTAACAGGTGCCTCTTGCTAACAAAATTAAGAATCTGGAATGGATTCTGTAATCACATTCCTCAAGCATATGTTAACCCTGCCACTTGAGACCTTCAAAAGGACGGAAAATGAGAGCAGAAACCCAATGTTATAACAGGGAACCTTCAAAACAAATGCTGAAATTACATTGTAGCTGACTATCTGCAAATTAACGCTGGTCAAAATCGACAGCATTTTTATTATATACAGGTAGTCCTCGAATTACAATCATATCTGAACCTGGAATTATGGTCATAAATCATGAGGGTTGTAGGTTGAGGCATCACATGACTGAGTCTAAAGTTACAAAAGTTTTGTTTACAATGTTATTAAGTGAATGCAGCAGTCGTTAAGCGAGTCCGTTTTCCCCAAGGGGTGATTTTTGCCAGAAACCAGAAGCAAATGCCAAAAACTGGCAAAACATTGTAGAAAAGTAGTCATGTGACCTTGGAATGCTGCAAACAGCCATAAGAAGCTAGTTGCCAAGCATCCAAAATACGTTCATGTGACACAGTGTCTGTTTTTGTGTGTGTGTGTTTGTGTGTGTCTGTCATAACTCCAAAAATGGATTGTAAGTAGCTCTGGGAGGGTCCATCATTAAGCGACCGGTCGTAAGTTGAGGACTACCTGTAGATGCCTATACAGGTAGTTCTCAACTTATGATCAGAAGTGACCCCGAAATTTCCATTGCTAAGCAAGAGGGATGAATTTTGCCCATTTTTCGACCTTTCTTGCCTCAGTTGTTAAGTGAATTGCTGCAGTTGTTAACTTAGTAACACAGGCGTTAAGTGAATCTGGCTTCCCCCATTGACTTTGCTGGTCGTGAAAGGGGATCACATGGCATTGCAACCGTCATAAATATGAACCAGTTGGCAAGCATCCGAATTTTGATCGCGTAACTGCGGCGAGATGTGAACAACTGTCTTAAGTCATTTTTTCCAGTGCCTTTGTAACTTTGAACAGTCACTAAACGAATGGTTGTTAAGTCGAGGACCACCTGTATTTTCCGTTAGACCAACTGCAAGCTATCTTCAGAGGTTTTCCTCCCTGGAACTAGCGCATGTCTAAAAGAGGGCTGTGTACCAACGCAACATCTGCACCCTTTGATGTGTTAAAAAAAATGTCTGTAACCTTTCCACCTGAACCATCTCCACGCCTCTCAGGGGTCTGGGAATTGATGGGAGATAAAAGCTATGCATTCACTGCTTTCACAAAAGAAAATGCTCAAACTTAGCTTTTCAGAATCTGAGATACGATATATATATATGCCTCGAGAGATTTTTGTAAGAGAACATAAATAAGTAATTTAAGAAAATGCCTTTATATTCTGGCAGGGGCCATGCAAAGCTAGTGAATTTAAAATCAGCACTGTATCTATAAAACCAAATAACTGCCGTTCGTTGGTGAAAAGCAGAAATCTGCCTTTTGATTCCTGTCCTTGTGTAAACATTTTGGCAATACCATCTTTCTTATGAACAGGGCTTGTGTGTTTTTTATGAAAATGCAACTCTCAAATGAAGTTTACTTACATGAAAAACTGGGAACCATTCGTATGTTTCCCTCTGTTTGCCATTGACAAGAGAAAGGCTCGGTCGTGTTTCAAAATAAAGTTTTCATCTGTTTCAAAAAAAGGGAGACAAAAGAGAGACAAATCAACCTCCCCCTGGCATTTAGACCCTTTACAAGTATCAGTCACGAAGAATTATCCCGTTGTGCAGTAAAAAAACTCAAAAACAATCTATGCCATTAATTAGAAAGACAGTTTGCACGCAAGCAATCGTTGAGCAGCCTTTAATCAAGAATATTTGGAAGTTTCGATTATTGACAAGCCACTTTACCATTTCTTAACCGCTTTTGTGAAATCTCTGGCTGTCCTTCCAACATTGCAGAGATTTCTCCAGCCCTGCTATTAAAACACATTTCCTTTAGCTGCAGAATGAGCAGATCTCATGCAGCTCCATGGAACTAGCATATATTCCTTTGGTTCAACCATCGACTAACCAGTTAAGCACTAGCATCTGAATGAACGTTTCCACGAAACAAGGAAGTTCAAATTTCCTTTGTGAAAAGGCAACATGCCTCGAGTTTAAATAAAAATCTGTGTAGATCAGTGCTTCTCAATCCGGGGACCTTTTAAGATGTGTGCACTTCAAATCCCAGAATTCCTCAGCCAGCCACGGTGAATTCTGGCAGCTGAAGTCCACATGTCTTAGATTTTCCAAAGTTGAGAAACACTAGCGTAGATACGCCTTAACGTTAATCAACCAGCAATAAGGTAAGAACAATTCCAAAGCAGTAATTTCTCCAGTAATCCATAGGCTAAGAATCACTAGCATGCAATAAAATTGGGTTGGATCAGAAAACACAGAATCCCCCTCACCAAAAAGCCTCTTTCTTTGAACTGGACAGACAAAACCACTCTGACTCTTTCACTAAACCAATTAAACTAATTATGTGGGGTCCTGGTGCTTTCTTGAGCTTGGTGGTTTTCTGGTAGACGTCTTATGACCCAACTAGGTAACATAACGAGTGCTAGAATCTAGAAGCCCGCTCCCTTCTAGTGCTGATGACGTTTCATGCAATGTCTGCAAGAAAACCATCCAGCTCAGAGAGAAGCAAAGGACTCCACATTTCAACCCTGAGCTACAAATAGTCTATCGGTAATTAAAATTATGATTTGTTTGTTAAGGTAATTCTCAACTACAAACAGCCATCAACAAAACAAGAGTGCCACGTATGTTTTTTTTTCTCTTCAGTTTCAGAGTGGAAAAAAATCTCATTTTACAACATGCGGTTATGATGATGATTGCGAGTACTATTGTGGCAGATTTAACTGAATTTTATTAAAAGCGTAATTGTACAGTACCAGGACAGTTGTACTTACCTAATTCAAAATCTTAGAAGAACCCAAAACCTTTACAATACAGATTGGCAAACAGAAGAATAATTGCTGTTGTATTCTATGATTAAGTACTTTCAGAATGTAACTTTTGTACAAAGCAGCTCATTTAGAAAAGGTTATTCTTTTCTACCTAAGTACGGTCAGGACACATTTCGAACCAACGTTTAACAAGAAAAACTGTTTGGTATCTGATTTATAATCCAATACTTTTAAAACATGCCCCAAATAATTGAGAAGACACATACAAACCTCAAAAAGGGCAAGGAAAGGGAAGGGAGCACCTGAGTTGAAAGACAAGTAGGTGACATCCCAAGGACGTCTTGGTCAAACCGAAGGCCATCTTGGGCCTCTCAAACTATTTTGGGGTTTGCTCTCCAAAGCTACACGGACCCAGCCACAAATTCATTAACAGCTGACCAAAGATTTATTAGGAAGGGTGCAGGGGAACAAGTTTGAATTTGTGTTGAGCTTTTGTGTCTTACCTTTTCATTTTGCAAAAGATCACATTCTCTATAAACAAAAGAATATGTTGACAGTTTTAGGCAGGAAGACAGGAGTTGGCATGAATCAAGTTGGCTAGCCTCCATGCTGAAGTCAAGTTTTAACCACTACAATAGCCGCCATAAACGTTGACTGTTAACGCTAACATTTACAGTCTTAAGAATTTTTAAAACTCTCTCATGCACACAGAGAATATCCATGCAATATTATACTTTCATGCAAGAGGAGCTATATAAACCTGGTTATGAAAAGCTGAAATTGGAATTCGCAAAGCTGAAGCCACCGAGGTTTAAAGTAACTGCTTGAAGTTTACCTTTGAAGTATCCTCCGTAAATAGATTCGCCTCCTTTTCCGTTACCTAGCATTAAGAAGATAGAATGTAAAATCCTGGAAAGTGCCACTGGATAATTTAATTAGTTGCACAGCATGAAGGAAATCAGCAGTGGGCTCTGAGAGATTCCCAATTCTGAATCACAGGTAAGTAGCAATTACAGGTAGTCCCTGATTTGCGACAACTGAGCCCAAAGTTTCTGTTGCGAAGCGAGACAACTGCCAGTTGTTAAGTGAATCACTGCAACTGATAAGGTACCATCATGGTTGTTAAGTGAATCTGGTTCCTCATTAACTTTGCTTGTTAGAAGGTCGCAAAAGGAGATCACATGAACCCCAGGATGCTGCATCCATCCTAAATCAGTTGCCAAGCATCCAAATTTTAATCATGTAACCATGGGGATGCTGCAACAGTCATGTGAAGAACGTTCATAAGTCACTTTTTTCAGTATTATTGTAACTTTAATCACTAAATGAACTGTTGTAAGTCAGGGACTACCTATAGCACTAAATAATTTAACCAGTCACACAGCACATTTACCTGAGAGGAATTGGCAGTGGGCTCTGTGAGATTCCTAATTCTACAGGTAGGTCACAATTAAGGTAGTCCTTGACTTATGACCACAATGGAGCCCAAAATTTCTGTTGCTAAGCGAGACAGTTGTTCAGTGAGTTTTGCTCCATTTTACGACCTTTCTTGCCACACTTAAGCAAATTACTGTGGCTGTTAAGTTAGCAACACGGTTGTTAAGTGAATCTGGCTTCCCCACTGACTTTGCTTGTTGCAGAAGCTGATCACATAACCCCAGGATACTGCAACCGTCATAAGTACAAGTCAGTTGCCAAGCGTCCGAATTTGATTAATTGACCACGGGGATGCTGCAATGGCCATTAAGTGTGAAAAATGGTCATAAACCACTCTTTTCAATGCCCTTGTAACTTTGAATGATCACTAAATGAACTGCTGTAAGTTGAGGACCACCTGAAGTGTGAAATTTGATTTGAATGCAATTTATAAACTGATCCCAGGTTGAGTTTAATGCTTGCCCAAATTCACGCAGCGCAAGGCTAATAATGTGCACAAGGCTGAGGCTGGTGCACGGGCATTTGTCGCTGGCATTTTTAAGAGCTCCTTGGGTGGGCAATACGGAGACACGGTTCCATTCGAGAAAAACTCAAAATCAGAAGGGGCTCATTTTTTTCAAGAACTGTAGAGTACAGGTGATTAACAGGTGTGTTTTAGATACGGATAGCCCTCAACGTACGACCATCACAGAGCTTGCCCATTAAGGTTGGTTTTCGTGGCGCTTGTAAAACAAGTTGGCCACATGACCGACCTGATTTTACAGTGTTCTAAAATGCTGTGACTGTGGGAGGCTGCCTTAAATGGGGTTTGTTGTGATCATGTGACTGCTGGACCATTGGAAGTGGTGCAGTGGTTAGAATACAGTATTGCCAGGAGTTCGAATCCTGATGGGGCTCAAGGTTGACTCAGCCTTCCATCCTTCCGAGGCCGCTAAAATGAGGACCCAGATTGTTGGGGGCAAATAGGCTGACTCTGTAAACTGTTTAGAGAGGGGTATGAAGCACTGTGAAATGGTATAGAAGTCTATTGGTATTGCTAAATGGGGTTGTGTTGAGACCACGTGACTGTGGGGAGGCTGAGCACTGAAACTTAGGTCCCCTTTTTCAGGTAGGTTGTAACTTCAAAAATTCGCTAAGTGACCAGTGGTAAGTCAAGAACTTACTTTATCCTCTTTTATTGTTCTACAATATTTCATTAATAAGCATATACAAATTTATGCTTAAAATACTCAATTGCCTGTTTTCATCAAGATGGAATTGCATACTTTTCATAAAAATATTGCTTTGAAAACAGGAAGTCTTCGACTTATGAGCCTAACATTTCCATTGCTAAGCAAGACAGTTGTTAAGTTTTGCCCCATTTTATGACCTTATTTGCCACAATTAAGTGAACCGCTGCAGCTGTTAAGTGAGTAGGTTGTTAAGTGAACCTGGCCTTCCCCCTGACCTTTGCTTGTCAGAAGGTCGCAAAAGGTGACCCCATGACACTGCAGTCATCATGAACATGAGTCAGTTGCCAAGCATCTGAATTGTGGTCATGTGACCATGGGGATGCTGCAATGGTCATTAAGTGTGGATTTCAACTCCCAGAATTCCACAGCCAGCAATGCTGGCTGTGGAATTCTGGGAGTTGAAGTCCACATGCCTTAAAATTGTCAAGGTTGAGAAACACTGCTCTATTCAGTGCCCTTGTAACTTCAAATGATCACTACATGAATGGTTATAAGTCAAGGACTACCTGAAGTCCAAATAATGCGACAATTTTGTGGGGTTCATTAATTGCACTAATCAAGACCCTTCGGTTATTTATGAAATAAATAACTCAACTGCATCTTGCATCCTGTTTATTGAAATTCCACTGTTCCCTGGCAACATGACCAACCTGATTTTACAAGGGTTTTTGTGGTTGTTGCAAGTGTGAATGGTTGTAAGGCCTAACTGGATTATCTGTACAAACAACACCATCACCGGCATGTGCGCAAACAACACAAGGAAACTACAACTCCTCCTCATCTTGTCTCTAAGGGATTACACAAATAGGGAGAAACAAAACAGCATCTGTGAAGAGGTCAGATTTATTCCCAACAGAAAAATTAAGTTGTGATTTTTTGGAACAGGCCGGGAAAACAACGCTTACGTTTCTCTTCTCAAAATCTTTTTTCCCCCCTTCTTCACAATTTATAGCTGCTTCCTATGAGGATTTGATCTCACATCAACTCTTAGCATTAGGGATGTTCTCTTTACATTTTAAGTGAGACTCGCATAGGGGATGTTGTATATTTTGTAGCGGTGACTAAACTAAGCTATCAGGACCGATTATTTACGTATTTTAGCTAGCAATAGCAATAGCACTTAGATTTATATACCCCTTCTTAGTGGTTTGCAGCCCTCTCTAAGCATTTACAGAGTCAGCATATTTGCCCCCAGCAATCTGGGTTCTCATTTTACCAACCTCGGAAGGATGGAAGGCTGAATCAACCTTGAGCCGGTGAGATTCGAACTGCCAAACTGCTGGCAGTCGGCAGAATTAGCCTGCAGTGCTGCATTCTAACCACTGCACCACCACGGCTCCGATAACTTCTACTAACATCATCCCCAGGCATTAAGATTTCCATTTGGGAAAACCTTCCTGCTAGAGCAGAGTACACAGGTAGTCCTTGACTTACGAACACAACTGAGCCTAAAATTCCTGTCGCTAAGTAAGACAGTTGTTTAGTGAGTTTGGCCACATTGGACGACCTTTCTTGCCAGAATCCCCACAAGCCTTGCGGCTGTTTCCCACCCCAGTGGGTCCCATACTGTCCTCCTCACTTCCTTCCAGCAATCACTGGAACTCAGATCAAGGAAGGAGGACAGACTGTTCTATTGCTGGGCTATGTGGTGTGATCCTAGAAGTGGACACCATTTTCCCAGAGGCGACACCGAATTGTGGTCATTCGGAAAAAATGAGGGTCATTTCCTGGATGGCTCATCAACAGAGTGGCTTGCTTTGCCTCCTTAATCTGAGCTCTGGAGATCTTTGAGAGATAAGCGCACGATGAGAGATGCAGGGTAAGGGGATTCAGTGGGTGGAAAGGGACCCCAAGGAGCAGGAAGCAGGGAATGGGGGGGGGGCTCAGATGTTGGGGGGAGGTCTGGGGCAGGGTCTGTGCTGCGTTTAATGACCCACAATTTGTTTTAACAACTGGACTGGGAAAAGCAGGGATGGAGGAGTCACAAGCGAGGTGATCATGTGACTTGCTTCTCTTAATGGCCATCAGGACTAACAACCGTAAAGAACAGGCTCCATTAAAGTAAGTCGAGGACTAACTGTAACAATATGTGCAAGTTGCTCAATGTACATGCAACAATTTATGACCAAACTGCTAGGTGTAATAACAACCACAACGGTAATAACAATATTCAGGCTAAATTTTAGAGAGTCAGACGAGGACAGGATTTTACCTTACATAAAACTCTAATTAGAATGTCTAAAAAAAAAAAAAGGCCAGTGGTTTAATTCCTGACATAATATAATCTATTCTTGAAAGTTACCCTTCTTATAATGTAACATGAGAGCTAACAGCATATCCAAGCTATTTATTTTTCCTGAAAAGAGAAAAGGGTCATTTACTGTAGACATTTAAATATATTCAAACATCTCATAATTTTTTTGCAGGCAACTGATAAATTTGGGCAACATTTTAATTACAATGGAAACCCCTCCCCCAATTTGGAGTGATGGATTAAGGTTAGGTCATTTCATCTACCTTCGCTAAAGTCTCCGCCTTGAATTATGAAGCTTTTAACCACGCGGTGGAAAGTTGAACCTTTGTAGCAAAGCTTTTTTCCAGTTGTTTTCCCAATTCCCTTTTCACCTATAAGGAGGAAATATATGTAAGGTCTCAGCAGTCTTACAAGCCATGATGTCCAAGAGAGGCGAATGAGTCGGAAAATGTAACTTGGTCTCGCATCACCCATCACTTAAAGCCGTAAGTGGTGACAATGCTACAGATGTGTCCAGTTGTATCTCCTGCACATAGCTGGACAAACGTGACTTCTAAACAGCCACCTACATTTGGCAGAGCTTCAGTGTTTCTATTCCAAATGGAAGATGCTACCACTACCATACCTAAACACAGAGGGTAGCCATTTTTGACTGCCAGTTAAGACTTCATTAAATTTAGCAGGATGAAGGTCTATGGCGATTCTCAGTCATCCAGGTCATGGTTGTCCCAAAAGTGTTTATCCTTGTTTAAGGCATTTCGTTTCTCATCCAAGAAGCTTCATCAGTTCTGACTGAATGGTGGAGGATGGAAGAATTTATATTCCTTATAGTCATCTGGTTATTACAGAGTAATTGAGGCTACGGTCCTTTTAGCAGTTCCAAGGAGGTTCCACACCCATTTGCACTATTCAGGTGACCCTGAGGGCACAGCTAAACCTCCAAGTGGCCTCAACAGCTTTTTAATGACCAGCTGTCTGCAAGGAATATAAATCCTTCCACTATCCACCATTCAGTCAGAACTGAAGTAGCTTCTTGGATGAGAAGCGAAGCATCTTCAAGGAAAAACAAAGTCTAGTAGCCTTTTGAAAAAGCACCTTTGGGATAGCAGGATGAAGTATTGATAAGACTATCAAGTTATCAAGTCAGTCAAATCCTTCGCCAATGCTTTCTTTTCCTGACATGGGGGTTTCACCACACAGAAACATTCAACAAGGAGAAAGGTGCTTGGAATTGCTTTGAAGAGTGAAATGGGCAGCAAATGTATTTGATACCATCGGCGTTGACAAAATCCCTCCCTATCGGCCAATGATAGAAGGCAGCTTTACTTGGAACTGCTTCCATCCTGCGACAATACCTTTAACACCACCAAACTTCCACATCTGCCTATCCCAGGTCCTCGGGAAGGACTCCAGAGGTGGACAAAAATGCCCAGTCCAATCTGAACGACTGACTGGTGACTGTGCGACGAACGACAATAATAATAATAATGATTAAAAAGGATACAGGTAGTCCCTGACTCATGACCACAATTGGGACTGGAATTTTGTTGCTAAGCATGGAGGTTCAAGTGAGCTGCACCCAGTTTTTGCCACAGTTGTTAAGCAAATCACTGCAATTATTAAGTGAATCGCACATCATTAAGCGAATCTGGCTTCCCCACTGACTTTGCTTGTCGGAAGCCGGCTGGCAAGGTTGCAAATGGCGATCATGTGACCCCCGAGACGCTGCAGCCGTTATATGTCGGGTTGCCAAGTGCCCAAATTTTGATTACGCGACAGTGGGGAATGTTGTGCTGGTTGTAAGTGCGAGAACTGGTTGTAAGTCATTTTTTTCCATGCCGTTGTAACTCAGAACTGTCACTAAATGAATGGCTGTAAGTCGAGGACTACCTGTATGTGATCAGGACCCCACAAACAACTTATTTTTTTCCTACTTGTTGCTAGCTCTCCCACCTCTTTACTAGTAATGTTTAATGTCATTGATAAAGACATTGGTCAAGCTGTTTAGCTGTATTAATCATACTTTCCCACTGGTTGGCTGCTTCTCTCCAGGACTGTGCTGAAAAAAAGATTGACACAATATAGATAGGATATTAAAATTCCTGGGAACAGATGAAACTGCAGGCTCCTGGGTAGGGAAAAGGCTACCAACATCCAATACTGCAGTATAGCTCAATTAGATGTCTATGGAGATTCTTAGTAATCCAGATCATGTTTGTCCCAAAGGTGCTTCTTCAGGAGGTAACTGGACTTTCTTTGTTTTTTTCTTTGAAGATGTTCCGCTTCTCATTCAAGAAGCTTCTTCAGCTCTGAAGCTTCTTGGGTGAGAAGTGGAACATCTTCAAAGAAAAATAAAGTCCAGTTGCCTCTTGAAAAAGCATCTTTGTGTATAGCTCAATTCTGTAACTTTGATGCGCTGTATCAAATTTAACTCTGCAAAAATAACATTCAGATATAACTAAATAATATTTAGACATTCCATTTTTATTCCTTTGTTCTAGCTCAGGGGTAGGCAACCTTGGCTCTTTCATGACTCGTGGACTTCAACTCCCAGAATTCCTGAGCCAGCCATGCTGAGGGGAAAGGGAGAGGTTTCCAAGCTGAGCCATGCTAGCCCAGGAATTCTGGGAGTGGAAGTCCACAAGTCATAAAAGAACCAAGGTGGCCTACTTCTGGCATTCTGGTTTTACTTGATGCATTCCTTCATGAGACAGTTGGGGAAGAAGGCAGCCAGTTGCTAACCCGTGCACTCACTGGGTGCCCCTGGAACCGGGCAATCACAGTTCAGTTGTAGTAGGGAGAGGAAATGCCGGTGGTCCTCCACTTATGACCTCGACGGAGTCCAAAATTTCTGTTCCTAAGCAAGACAACTCTTAAATGAGTTTTGCCCCATTTTACAACCTTTTTTGCCACAGCGATTAATCACTGCAGCTGTTAAGTTACTGGGAGTAACATATTGATTAAGTGAATCTAATTAATGCCAGCTCTAGCAGAGATCAAAAACTGAGCTTTCCAACAATGGGAACTGAATATTGGGGACAAGAAGGAAGGAAGGAAGGAAGGAAGGAAGGAAGGAGGAAAGGAGGGAGGGAGGGAGGGAGGAAGAGGAAGAGGAGGAGAAAAAAGAGAGAGAGGACGGGGGAGAAGGAAGAAATAAGGGAGTGAGGGAAGGGGGAAGAAGGAGGGTGGCAGGAAGAAAATAAGGGAGGGAATGAAAGAGTACAGGCAGCCCTCGACTTATGACTACAATTGAGCCCAACAGTTGTTTAGTGGGTTTTGCCCCCTTTTACGGTCGTTCTTACCAACTGTTGTTAAGTGAATACTGCAGTTGTTAAGTTAGTCACAGAGCTGTTAAGTGAATCTGGCTTCCCCATTGACTTTGCTTGTTGGAAAGCCGCAAAAGGGAGTCACATGACCCTGGGATATTGCAACCATCGTAAGTATTCAGTTGCATGCATTCAGTTGCCAAGCGTCTGAATTTTGATCACGTGACCCTGGGGATGCTGCAACGGTTTATTAAATTGAAAAACTATCATAAGCCACATTTTTCAGTGAAATTGTAACTTTGAATGGTCACTAAACGAACTGTTGTTAAGTCGAGGACTATCTGTATACTGGTCACTTTTGTAGCAGCAGGCTTCAGTCCATTCCTAACAGATATTTCCAAAAAGAGATCCTGCAGTAAGCATGCCCTAAGGGAAATTTATATTTGTGTATCAGAACAGACTAAAAATTTGGAAAAAAGGACTCTGCGTTACAGATTTTTTTTTTTTTAATCTGCTAAGCACAATTTCTGGCGTCCAAGGACGAAACAGGCAGCCACTGATGCCTGACCTTGTGTTTCTTTTCCGAGTGGCTCCAAAGATAAGTCACGGCACATAATTACAATAAAATTATAATTATTCACAACTTTTAACAAAACATACCTGTGCATAGACAAAGGAAGTTTTTGCAAGTCCTTGGACATACATCAGAGAAAAGCTGAAATATGATACGACCAACTGGAATATAAATTAAAGTTTAATTACATTCCATTTTTACAGTAGCCAACCAAAGCATATTGCAGTTTTTTTTACAATTACTTTATCATGGATTTAAACTGTGCTGTGAAAATTAGAACTACCGTACTTCTCATTTTTCAACTTACTGTATATGAACCTTCAGCTTTATCTACTTGCCGTTTCTCCAACCCGTATCTTACAGAAACTGCAACCCTCTCACATTCTGCTTTCAGTAAAAACATGAAAAACAAGTGAAAGCCACAGCCAGAGCACTTAGAAACGCTTAGTGATCACTTTCATTTTCCACAAATGACCAGGTATTTTTATGTGCTCTAATTATAATCCTAGTCCTAAAATAACCATTTTGTAACATGTTGGAGCAAGTTAAGTTGCAGTGAGAATTTCTAGAACAACGAAAAAGGAATCTTAATACCTATTTTTCAACCCCTACAAATATGCTTAAGTATGTACGTGATTTATACATATACACAAACACAAAATCTGTACAAGAACTGGTCATAATTAATTTTTTCAGTGCCATTATAATTTGAAGAATAATTAAATGAATGGTTGTTAAGTTGAACACTACCTGTAAAGTGACAAGCTTGGTCTTTTGACAGCAGGCATGCAGTATATTGTGGTTCCTTTTGTATATTTATTTATCTTCTGTCTTTTTTTTTAATAAATAACTCAAGGCAGCAAATATACCTATTACTCCTTCCTCCTACTTTCCCTACAATGGCAACCCTGTGAGATGGGTTGGACTGAGAGGTCTGCTTTTCACACCTAAAGTGAAACTAGAATTCAGAATCTCCTAGTGATTGGCCAGAAGTCTTCCAGGCGGCTTTCATACCTAAGGTGAGACTAGAACAGTGATGGCGAACCTTTTAGAGTCTGAGTGCCCAAACCGCAATCCAAAACCCACTTATTTATCGCAAAGTGCCAGGGCCGCATCAGCATTGTGGTGCCCTCGGGGGGAGGCAGGGAGGTGCCTCTGAGTGCTGCCTCTGGCACGCAAACACTGGGGGCGCAAAAATGGGCCACCGTGCTGCAAGGTGCAAAAACGGCCACTGCCACACCTTGGGGTGCAGATACAAGGCGCTGCACCACGCAAGAACGGGGCAGGGCTAGTGAGTATATCACACAGGCACTAGCCCTGCCCCATTTGCAGTGTGTGCACGCTCGTGGCCCCGTGCGTGCATACATGCATGTAAATTGCTTCCCCCTCCCTTTTCTTCCAGTCCACCAATGGACAATGGTTGGTGACCTCTGCTCTACCACCTCTACTCGAGCTTGCTAGTCGGCCGCTTTGCCTCCTTTGTGCTGGGCAGGGCTCCTGCTCTGGGTGGCGGTGGCGGCCTGATGGACCTGCTGCTGGCAGCGGTGGCGCGTGTGCCAACAGAGAGGGCTCTGAGTGCCGCCTCTGGCACGCGTACCATAGGTTTGCCACCACTGGACTAGAATTTACCATGTCCTGGTGATTGGCCCAAAGTCACCCAGCCTGCTTTCATGGTTGGGACTAGAACTCCCAGTCTCCCAGTTTCTAGTCTGGTGCTTCAAACCTTAAGACCAAATATTGCTTCTATTGTGTATTGTTTTGTTTCTGGTCTTATTTGTATAAGATCCCTTTAAGTCACTATGTGGAATGAGAAGCTATGCTTATTTAAGTTATTCCCATACTTTCAGCTAAAGGGAGTAACATTTTCACTGTTATACAAAGAAGCATATTTTCAGGTCAGTCATCTAAACGCAAGTGATACATTTCTATTTTGTAAATGTGTTTTATACATTTATTTAATATATGAAACCCATTTGCAAAATAGAAAAGGTATCACGTTTGGATAACTGACACGAGAATATGCTTTTTTGTATAACAAGGTAACAAAACCTTACACCTTTTAGCTGAAACTATGGAACCGGGATGTTTAGAATACAAAAATATATGGACTCATTTTAAGTGTTTCTAACCTACTTTCCTCCGTTTGAATATTAAAAGCAACTTGATATATGAAAGCAAAACACTTGCCTAGTATTCATAAAAATGATTATAAACCTGAAACCAACACATCAAGAGATTATCCAGGGACTGCAGGACAGAAATAGTAAAAGCAGGACAAGGGTTTTTTTTGACAGCAGAGCTTTCCAAACTTTTCAGAAAGACTTGGATGCATCCCACATTGTACTTATTAAAATGCTTTGTGTTGAAATACAGAGAAATGGTTTCATTCTTCCATCCACTTCTAAATTAAGAAAGATTATCAGAAAATGTATTTAATGTCACTTTTTTTTTCCTACTTATAGGATGCGAGGCTGATCTGGCTGCAACAACTGTCACCTCATTAATTGCCAGGCTTGATTTGGCTGATCTCACTCATTTGCAAAAAAAACAAAAGCTAATCAGGAATTAAATCCAAAGGTTGCTATACCTTTACTGTATTGTATGCAATTAATCCTGGTTTATTTGTTAATACAACAAAAGGCTATAAGAGAACAAACGCACATCATCATGATGAAAGAGAGAATAACAGAATTGGAAGGGATCTTGGAGGTCTTCTAGTCCAATTCCCTCCTCAAGCAGGACACCTATACCATTCCAGACAAGTGGCTGTCCAGTGATGGAGCACTCACAACTTCGGAGGCAAGCCATTCCACTGGTTAATTGTTCTGTTAGTAAATTTCTCCATTGTTCTAGGTTGCTTCGCTCCTTGATTAGTTCCCATCCATTTTTTTCTTGCCCTGCCTTATGGTGTTTAGAAAATAGGTTGACCTCCTCTTCTTTGTGGCAGCCCCTCAAATATTGGAACACTGCTTATTTTCACTTTGCATTGCTATTCTGAAATACTATTTGACCATGTATAAAAATAGCACGTAGCCACTAAAATTCAAGTGATCGGTGCACAACAGAGGGCTGTAAACAAAATCTAACTAATGAGAAGCATTCATCTCCGCAAGCATGAACTCTAAAGTATGGTGATACAAATATTCTTATAGACTGATAGAGCCCTCAGACCTTACCTGGTTCTCGATTAATTTCGATATCAAAGAAGCACTGGGGGCGATCCTCTGCCCCCATGATGGCAGGATGCCCTAGTGCCCACTTCTTTACCACCTTCAGGAAAACAGAAGCATATCAAAACTTAAATATTGGCTGAATCTTAGAGGCACAGAGAAAACTATTTATATGATTAAAAAATGCCCCACCCAGATGCTGAAGCAGCCAATAAAATCCAGTACCAAAAATTTCACGTCATTCAAAGGAACTCTAATTGCTATTGAGGATTAACTATAAGTAGTCCTTAAAGTACATCCACAACTGAGTTCAAAATTTCTGCTGCTAACTTTTGTTGAGTTTTGCCCCATTTTACGACTTTTCTTGCCACAGTTGTTAAGTGAATCATTGCAGCTGTTACGTGATCCTGGGACATGGCAACTGTTATAAATATAAGACAGTTGTCCAGTGTCTGAATTTTGATCACATGACCATGGGGATGCTGCAACAACAGTCATAAGTCCCTTTTTTCAGTTCCTTTGAATGGTCACTAAATGAACTGTTAAAAGTTGAGAACTATCTGTACAGTGTCTCTGGGCTTCTTACGATATAATAAAAAAGCAGAAAAAGTACAAGGAAACAATTAAAATTAGAAAAATTAAATAGAAAATTACATTTCACATAATCACCATATTCTACACAGGAACTGAATAGGAAATACATTTACCTGTTTTGTAAATGCAGTATATATTTATTGCACATATCATGATGCATACGTTAAATATGCATTATTTGCAATCATTGGTTGCATGGTCAAATGTTGTGCATTTCTGCCCTTTTTCCTATTTAATTCTTAACTAAAAGGAGATAATTTAAATATTTTAAGATATGAAAATAAATTACTCCTGTTTCCTTTGGATTCTATTTAAAGGAAAAATAATAATAATAAAAAATTGGCAAGCGTAGGGAGGTGTAAACCGTCCCGCTATCCCTTTCCTCAGGCCAAGCCTGGCTGGGAATGATGGGAATTGGAACTTTTTTCCTCGTGAGGATTTGAGGAGGAAGAGGGAAGCTGAATCTCCTGAAAAAGAGCGGCCGGGAAGAGAGAGATTCTAATGAGGAATGTGTGAAGAGAAATATACCCACTCGGGCTCCACAAACATTGGCCGCACTCCTTCAAGAGGACTAGCGCCTTTTTGGTCAAGGGGCTAGCAGCTCTCAGAGGATCCCGGCCGGGGCCGTTACCTGGCTGTGCCGGAGCTGCTCGGTCAGTCCTCCGCGCCCGCCCGCTTCCGATCAGCCCGGCTCGCGGCCAAGTATCTCGGCCCGAAGCAGCCGCAACAACCCCTCAGCACTAGCGCCATTAACGGAAACCCTCTGAAGGGACGACGAAGGGCGGGGCCAAGGCGCGCGAGTACGCACGCGCGCTCCTCTTCTAAGGCCCGCCCTCGGGATTTCTCTCCATCCGATTGGCCTTTTCCGAACAGCCCCGCCCTCAGCGCGCGCGCCTCCGCCGCCTCCACCACCACTCGTCAGGCCACGCCCACCCGCGCTTTTTCTTTTTTTTAAGCCACCGAAAGAGGGCGGGGCGCCGGACCAGCGCGCCTCGCTCCCTCTTTCCCTTCCCGTGAGCGAGCGCTGCCCCGCCCAAAGCTTCGAGGGGAGGAGTCCAAACCGAACCAAGCAACAACAACAGAAAAAGGCTGGTCGATTTGAAGTCTCGCGAGATCGATTTGAAGTCTCGCGCCTCTCTTTCCGCGCCCCTCGCCGCGGCCCGCATGATTTGAGGATGTGGCAGTTGGCCTCTGGCCGTGAGGGAGGGTGGGGGATTTGCTTGAGCTCGCCTTCAAAATAACTATTAAAATGTTTAATTTAACTTTTTAAAGTATCCTTACCATCGATCAAAGCCGCAATAAAATAATGTCTGTACCCTGTAGGGGGTTATTTGCTGTTACTTGTTTGCATTTTTGTCTTCGATAGGTTATTCTTAGTGGTGCATTTCTTCAGAGGCAGCCTGCTTCATCCCAAAATTAATGCGAATTATGCAGAAAGTTACAAAATCAGAGCAAAAATAATTCAAGAGTAGGAGGAGGCTTGCTACGTTACAGAGTTCCCTTTAATTTTTGGACATATTTCTGAACTTCCTCTTAAAACAAGTAGTCCTCAACAGTTCATTTAGAGTCCGTTCAAAGTTACACCACCACTGAAAAAAGTGACTTAATACTGTTTTTAACACATGACTTGCCACATTCCCATGGTCACTTGAACAAAATTCAAATATTTATAATGGTTGCAGTGTAATCCCCTTTTGCGACCTGACAAGCAAAGTCAATAGGGAAGCTAAATTCACTTAATAACTTTGTTACTAGCTTAGCAATTGCAGTGATTCAAGAAAAGTTGTAAAATGAGGCAAAACTCACTTGACAAATGTCTCCCTTGGCAACAAATTTTGGGCTCAGTTGTCATAAGTCAACGATTCCCTGTATTTGGATAGGAAACCACAAGGAAACCCACAAGTTGTATTCTAGAAAGTTGAGGGGGAAAAAACTCAGAAAAAGAAAATTGACAAACCAATCTATATTATTGCTGAGGAAATTACGTGGATATAATTAAGAGAGACTTTATTTTTTGATGTAATTCAAACTTAGCTTCTTCGTAAATCTTTTGATTGGTATTATGGAAGTCATGTTCTCATGGTCTCAGCTATAGGTCCTCAGATTACGACTGCAGTTTGGGCCAGAAGCAAGGCAGTCATTCAATAACTCACACCTAATTTTATGATTTTTTTTGCCGCAGTTGTTAAGTGAATCATAGGGTTGTTAAGCAAATTCATCTTGCACTTTCATTGTTGAGTGCTGAGAAGGTCAGAAATGGCGACTGCTTGAACCTGGGATGCTGCAATTATCTTAAATACACGCAGATTGCCAAGTGGTCAAATTTTGATCATGTGACTGGGATTGTAAGGGTGAGGACCGGTCGTAAGCAGGGCTGTGGAGTTGGAGTTGGAGTCGAGGAGTCGGAGTCGGAGGAAATTTTGGGTACCCGGAGTTGGAGTCGGAAGTACAAAAAACTGAGGAGTCGGAGTCGGAGTCGGAACATTTATCTACCGACTCCACAGCCCTGGTCGTAAGTCACTATTTTCACTGCTTTTGTAACTTTGAATGGTTGTTAAACGAATGGTTGTAAGTCAAGGACAGCCTATATTTCGCATCATGAGTGCTGTGAAGGTCAGATCATAAACGCTTCATATTCAGAGCTTAATAGATTAAGAATTTTATGTAGATGCCGAAAAAATAATATTTGTCTTTGGAATGGAATATTCCAAAATAAATGTATTTAAATAAGATATCAAGAAATACTTGAAACTGTTGTTCAGGAGCTTAATTGGAAAAATATTTTGATTAGGAAGTTTAGTACTATGATGATAAGAAACTTATTTAATTTTGTTGTGAGTTACAAAATGACAATAAAGCTATTCTATTTACAGTTGAACAAGATAAGAGCAAACCTCACCAGAAAGTGCTTGAAAAAAATGAAAAAAAAAAATCTTTTCTTTCCATCGAGTGACTTATTTTGAATCTCAGGAAGATATGAGAACAACAGGGATACAAGCTCACTTATTATCAAAGATAGTCTCCCACTTACAACCATTCGTTTAGTGACCGTTCAACGTTAAAATAGCACTGAAAATAGTGATTTCTGACTGGCCCTCACAGTTATGATTATTGCAGTATCCCCATGGTCACGTGACCAAAATATATGCGCTTGGCAACCAGCATGTATTTGCGATGGTTGCAGCATCCTCAGGTTATGCGATTCCCGTTTGTGACTTTCCCAGCCAGCTTCCCACAACCAAAATCAATGGGAGAATCTGTATTCACTTAATGACCCTGTGATTCACTTATGAATGGCAGAGATTGGCTTAACAACTCTAGCAAAAAAATACATAAAATTCTGGTCGCCATTGTGGTGGTAAGTTGAGGATTACCTGTACAGGTAGCCTCAACTTACGACCACAATTGAGCCCAAAATTTCTGTTGCTAAGCAAGATAGTTGTTAAGTCAGCTTTGTCCCATCTTACGACCTTTCTTGTCACCGTTAAGTGAATCATTGCCATAATTATGTTGGTAACACAGTTGTAAAGTGAATCTGGTTTCCCCATTGACTTCGGTTGTCAGAAGGTCGCCAAAGGGAATCACATGACCCCAGGACCGTCATAAATATGAGTCAGTTACCAAGTGTCTGAATTTTGGTCACGTGATCATAAGGATGCTGTAAGTGTGAAAAACTATCATAAGTCCCTTTTTTCAGTGGTGGTGTAACTTCTAATGGTCAGTAAACAAATGATTATAAGTCAAGAATTACTTTTATAGTGATCGTATTTTGGGAGGAAAAAAAATAAAAGGCAAAGCTGAAAAAGGGCAAATCTGAAAGAGGTTTGTAAAGGATAACAAAACACTCATTGTTTATATTGATAACATTGTTTGACAAAGGAGGATTCAAAAGCAAAGCCAAAGCAATCAATCCATCAACTGAAAGGTCATTTTTTTTAAATAACAAATTGTCCTTTATAATAAAGGATATATGGTCACTGTATTTATGGTAAAGATTTACATTGGCTGAAATCCAGTCATCACAATGCTGTCCACTGTGGAGATAATATGTGCATACAGCTTTTTAAAATTCATTTTAATGCATTAACAGAATAACAGAGTTGGAAGGGATCTTGGAGGTCTTCTAGTCCAACCCCTTGCTCAAGCAGGAGATCTTATATCATTCTAGACCAGCAATGGGCAAACTACGGCCCGCGGGCCGTATACGGCCCGCCGGCCGTTTCAAGCCGGCCCGCGGAGCACTAGATAATTTATTCATTTATTCACCTCATGCTGTGTCTAGTGAGGTGAATAAATTATCTAGTGCTCCCGGTGGCTGGCTAGGGAGTTGCAAGGAGCTGGATTGGCTGGGCTGGCCAGCAGCTAATGG